AAAATCTGGGTAACTTTGAACGGATACTTTTTAGTAATCTGATTAGATTGCCTCTTCCAGTGCGGGTTCTTGCTACCTGAGCTGTACGCAGTTAGTTGGAATGCCTGCTCGGGGTTTTTCCAAAGGAAATAAAAGAATTAGTTTTTCTTACTAAATTCTAACTATGGTTTATTGAACAAATGGTAAATCTTAATTAGGAAATGAAAGAAAAACAAAGAATATACAGTAGGTTATTAACAATGTTTACTGAAATGAAATGAAACAAAATTAAACACAGAGCTTTGGAATGATATGGAGTGAAATTAATGAGCGTCCTGTATAGGGCGTTCCTGGATGGTACAAGTTACATGAGAAATTAAAGAATAAAAGATACAGAAAATAAAGACTAAAGACTAGATTATAACTCTTAGTGGGTAAAAGTCAGGGGCGTCCTCGACAAGGGAATGACAAAACAGCCTTGTTATTCAGGATAAGATACATGTTGGAAAAGAGATTTAAGTTGTGAAGTTAACCCAATGGTTTTGTTCATTGCACAGGGGAGAAAATAAATAATAGATAGAAAACAACAATCATGATGAATACATTAAAATACTTGAAATTGAAACATTACGCAAGGTCTCGGAAAGAGAGTCAGCAGAAAGACGTCAACACTAAACACCAGAACTACGTTACAGCACTGAATCCATCTAGGAGACTCACAGGCTTATTTATCTTGGCTGCTTGATGACGCTTTTGAGATCCTTATCGGTCGCAAAACATGCGGTTTCTTCATGGAACCAGGAGTCGAGAGTCGTATTTTAAGACATAATCAAGAGACTGTTTCGGGATCCGACTGATAACCCTTAGCTCTTGACACGGTTTCGTCAGAAATTTAGCGACTTAATCTCGCTGGGAAAAAAACAATTAATTGTATTACGAAGCAAAAAAAAAGGACTTTTAGGCTCGGACAGACTTAAAAACTATCACCATACAAAGATATATCAAAGTGTTTCCTATGAATCTGAATAAATGTCCAAATGGGCCAAATGGCTGCTTCATCTCCAAAATATCAAATCATATGTATAAAAATATCAAGATTTATGTCTTGGAAAATTTCTGTTCTGATGTTATAATTGAGCATGATATTCTTCAAAGTCATTCAGGAGTGGAATTCAGTTTTGGTGGCAATCGAGCAAAACTTTCTATCTGTAATCTATTAACAGCAGCTATTGACATATCATTAAACTGGAGAGACCAGATAAATTATATATGCTTTATATCATCTGTCTCAAATAACAAGTAAAAGCACGAAGCACTGTGAAAACGTTTCATTTTTCAATTATTGAATCATGTATTAGATATGGGATTGTGCTTTGGGGTGCATGGTGCATCCTCTGCTTCAAAGAGTATGTATAATGCAAACAAGGGCTATTCGATTAATCTATAATATGAAGTTTAGGGAATCTCATAGACTAGCATTTATTTCTGAAAAAATCATGACTAATGCCTTGGTTATACCTATATTGTTAACATTATTTTCGAAATCTTGAAATTTGTAAAGGTTAACTCAAACACTTTTTAAACATCATGATTACACAACTAGAGTTAGACCTGATTAATTATCAGTATGTCATTCACCGTCTTGAGCTTTACAAAGCAAATCCTTACTACATAGGGACAATTTCGTATAACAAGATACCTATTAGCACACGTCAGTTAAATCAATGTTTTCGAAAATATTTTATTGAAAAATGCATTATATATAGTGGAGGAGTTTCTAAACATTAGGCAGTGGAATATATGAATACCTTATAAAAATTCTAGTGATAAATTATTTAATTATTCTTATGCTTATTGTTAAATAGGTATATAATTATTTATTATGTTATGTTATTGATTAGTATGTAATGTAAATATTTTCCTATATCCTGTGTGTGATCTTCGATAATAAACATCTATTCTATGCTATCTATTCTATTGAATCTATAAGTACGGTTTTCTGTGATGATGACTACCTACATATTTATATAGAAACAGAAATACAAAGATTGTTGAAAGAAAACATCATTAAACCAAGTTATTCGCTTGGAGAAATTTTGGTGACAAGCAACTCAAATCATAGGAAACGCATGGTTGTTGATTACTCGTTGACAATCAACAGGTTCACTTTATAAGATGCAAGATGCAATCCACTACCTAATATTTATAGTATTATCAGTCAAGTTTCGCAATATGAATATTTTAATTCTATAGACTTACATAGTGCGTACCATTGAATACCTATTTTGGAAAGTTAGCGAATTTACACTGGATTTGAAGCATATAGCAAATTCACAAGAATTCCATTTGGGTATCACAAGTGGAGTAGCAACGATGAGAAATGTAAATTTTCAATGTCAACTATCAATAGTTTTCTCATGAACAGAGAACAAATTCAAGCATTCAAAAGATTGAAACATTGATGGAAAGGTTCCATTTACAATGGAAACACATGCTTCTAATTCTGCTATTGATGCTCAACTGACACAAAATGGTAAACTGGTCGCATTTTTCTCAAGAACCTTAACAAAAATAGAACAAAATCATTCCAGTATAGAAAGAGAAGCAATAATAGAAGCTATAAGAAGATGGAGGCATTATTTAATGGGAAAACATTTCAGTTTGCATTTATTTTTGACAATCAGAGTTCATCAAAAATTAAGAATGAGAAAATAATGCGTTGTGAAATAGAATTACCTATCATGCTACAATTTTAATATGATATACAGGCCAGGAAATCAAAACATTGTAGCTGGCACACTTTTCAGGATATCAGCTGCTATTCAGCCAAGGCAAAAATTTGTATAAACTACACAACGCAATGTGTTATCCTGGTGTCACAAGATTCTATAAAATTTATCTTATTCGCTGGGAGAAATCAAAAGAGTATTATCCGCATATCTGGTTGGTGCAGAGATAAAGCCAAGATCCTATAAAAACAGAGGAACTTTCATCAAATCTACACCACAATTTGAAAAATTAAATATCGACTTTAAAGGATCATTGCCATACTCAAGATTTCCATGTTCGGATATGTCAACTGCAACCATTGACTGCAACAGTAATAAACTGTTTGACTCAACTATTCTCAATGTTTGGCACACCATACCAGGTTACATATAATATATTCACAGCGATAGAGAAGCATCTTTTCTATCTGTTGATGTGAAATTATTTTTAACAAGTCATGGTGTTGCCATAAGTCGTACAACTGGATTCAATCCAGAGGCAAATGGACAATGTGAATGATTTAATGGAACAATTTGGAAGACTATTCAACTTGAGACTATCTAGAAAGCAGAAACCTGGACGTAAAACAATGGCGAGATGTATTAATCGATTCTCTACAATCTCTACATTCAATAAGATCCCTTTTGTGTACCTACTCATTCTACACCTCATAAACACATGCTCAACCATCCTAGAAGATCAACCTCAATGCCTAGAAGGTTGAGCATCCCAGGACCAGTTTTTCTCAAAAAATATGTTACACATAGCAAATATGATTCATTAGTAGGTGAAGTGATTTTCAGGAAGCAAATTCAGATTATGCTAATGCATGCCTATCAAATGGAAGAGAAATTACTGTATCAACTCGTCATTTAGCATCTGTCTGCTCTACTAGAACAAGATCAAAATGCCATAACACTGTCAGAAAAATATTATAATGGGTTCCTAAAGAAAACCTTACATTAGTCAGTTCAGAACGTTTATCATCTTTGTTCCCTATAAATGATGCTAATGGTTCTCTTTCCCAAAATTCTGAACAATTTCACAATGAAAATATATAAACATTATATTTTTTGGACTTCACATAGATGAAAATTTAACATGGATAGGACATATAAACAACATGTTAACATGTTACAAAGTTTATCTCTTTCAGTCGTTGTAATAATATAAAAGTGAAATACTTCCTTTAAAATATTTGAAAAACATGTAATCTAGTGTAATGTGATTTCTACTAGAAAATATCCTGAATATTAGGTTTCTAAATTTATCAATCTTTCAATCCCACTCAAAAATTATTAGTTTCCACGTTCTCAAACATTTTCGTGATTTAATCGGCACATAAACACACAATAAATAATTTTTTTCAGCTCGTTAGAGCTGCATTGTAATAAATAGGTACTAATTAATTATAAACAATGGGCAGTTTTTATCGAAAGTATATGCATACATACCCCTATTGTGGCGAAACAATAATGCATATATTATGCACATAAAATCGATAATCAAATTGCTATAAAATCTCTATGTTTGTATTACGAATTAATTTGTTTGAAATTGTTTTTGTTGGTACCGTAATGCAAAAACTTGTATGCGATTTACGAATATTGCGGCAGTGAATTGCTTCAAATAAATTTGTGTTGTAATGTAATACTTGTAACTTCTCCTATAGTTGAAACAATAATGTTCTTCCGTACTCATGGTTGTTGAAAGATGTGATTCTTAAAAAAAAAGACATATTAAAAGTGGTATCAAACCAAGATTCATAGGTACCTACCTAAATCAAATATTATTTTATTAAACTGATTATTTAACATTGGACAATCATAGTACAGTAACATCCTGTACAATGCAATTTTCGCTGCACATAACAAACAAGCAAATTACAGTTAAATAGCCTAAACCGAAAAATCCAAACCACGAGCGATATAAATGAATGGTACCGCCAGGTACCTACTGCAACATTAAATCTACATTTATTTTTTGAACCAGTAATTAAATAATTTTATATCGAAAATTTACCAAATAAGTAGTTGTAGGTTTGAATTGAAATAATAATTATTGAATAATGCCAACTGGCCACTGCGAACTTACTGTTTCGCGTCCAATAATAATTATTGGAATGGTTAGCATTGCTTGTTAAGATTTGATAAATGTATAGTTTGGCCCATTTTCCATTTGAATAATAATTGAGTGCACCCTTTGGAATTGCATTATTTGTTTGTAGCTTATTGTTGTCGTTTTTGTTTCAGGCGATCCGACAGGAGTATTGTGTCCGCCGGGAATGTTCAAATGTCCAGAAGGCAAATGTATACCGTCCCTCTGGGTTTGTAATTACCAAAAAGACTGCGAGAAAGGAGAAGACGAGTTCCAGCAGTGCGGTAAGGATTTTTGTTTTAATAGATTTTGTAAATAGTTGAAAGTGGCAATACAGAGTATTTGATCTATCTACGACAGTTTAGAGTTTCTTGAGTAATCTGTAGAAATCGTTTCACGAGGGTTCATACCAATGAACCATAACCAAAAACTGGAATCCGCACACATATTGACAAACGTGAAGCCTAGTGCCGCTGCTGCGGAGGGGATGCCTGTTTTTGTCGCACTCATTACGTTAAATGGCGGAAATTGCTTTCAACACGTATTCCAATTGATAAAACCTGTGCAGGTAAATATAAAAAAACTTTTCAAAACGTCATATGTCAGTGAGCAACAGAAAGGGACAACATTCCCCCTTGTGGCATCCGTCTTTGAAGGCTTTTTTTTTTAGCGGATATGGCAATGTGTGCGCATTCCAGTTTTTGGTTATAGTTCATTGGTTCATACTTTTGATATCGAACACGTTATAACTTGAAAAAAAAGGGTTGTTGTTGAATTATTTAACCATACATTCAAAGGCGGTTTTCAGCCTGGAATGATTATTCATCGGTGAATACCGTGGTTATTCTTTCACCACTCAAGAATCATAACCCAAGGAACGGACCGCTGAAATGACTTAATGGTTATAGCAATGTAGGGTTATTATTCTTATTTGTTTTTCCGTTTCAACAATGGTTTCTTGTTTAGGTACAAAAAACCATTAGCCAAATCCCAAGAAACATTGGGAAAAAAAACAACGACATCTAGCCAATTTTAAGAAAGACTCTACAAGCAGAAAAACCGAGCAATATTATCAAGACAAAGTAAATGTGTTCGAGTGAGTCTGGGAAGAGATCGAGAAAAATCATGAGGAAATTGGTAAACTAGTGTCATTCTCATGTATACTACACCGATAAGTACATGGAACAGCTTACCAAAATCTATAATGATGCCAAAGCGTACATAATTGCTAAGAAGGAGCAACACTTATCGTCATCCTCAAACCAAGCGCTGCAAGCTCCGCCAAACCGACTGAAGGAAGAAGAAGTTCGAATCAATCAACTTAGCCAAATGCTAGACAAAATCATCAATGATTTGCAGGTTGAAAAATCAATCAGTCGTTACCAACTATTATATATAACAAAATTTCGAATTGGGAAACCATATCTTCGAGATATACCTACATTGAGCTACAAGTTCAGGGCCGTTCTAAAACAATTAAGAATCCCTATGTAGAAATCAAGCTCAAATATGAAGATGTTCTGGAAACGTTGGAATCCAAAATAACGAGTCAACCACCAAAATTATGCAATATCAGTCTTCCTCAGATAAAGACCATTTTTCGATAGTCAGTATGAAGAATGGGTAACTTTCCGAGACATCTTCAGGAAGGTGGTCCATGAAAACAAAAATCTGACGCAGATTGAGAAGATGCAGTACCTCAAAACCCATAATCGAGGAGCAGCCAGCAGACTCATATAGCATCTCAAAACTTTAGACATTAACTATCAGACAGCATGGCAAATCCTAAGCGATCGTTATACAGCAACGAAATCTTAAAATTAATAGACAGAATCTTGGATATTCCTGCGATTCAGCAGGAATCAGCATCAAAAATAAAACAGCTGCATGACACCATCATCGAATGTTTGGAAGCTCTGAAAAACATCAAGATTGACACAGCGTCACGGAGTCCAATATTAAAACGCATAGTAACTCGGAAATGGGACTCCGAACCAAACAAACTATACAAACCATCATTAAAAAAGCCCCATAAATTACAAGATTTTGTCGAAATGAAAAGATTTCTACAGGCAAGATTTCAATCACTAGAAGCCATCTCAGACTCTCCGAAGATTTTACCAGTTAAACCCAACAAAATTACGGATGCTAGATGCAAATATCGTTCGCAGTCATCGCATACAACATATAATTGTACCAAGTTTCGAGCCTTATCTCACTCTGCACGCTTGAGCACATCAGTTAAGGAAAAGAAACTGTATTAATTGTCTCAATCATGATGACAATATAACATGCACCTCCACCGGTCGATGCCGAATCTGCACTAAAGCTCACCATACCCATGTTCACCTATACTTCCCTCAAAATAAAAGTCCACCAAAAAAATCACTAGGAGATAATCATTCTTATCATCGTGGAAGCCGAAACAAAGAGCAAACTACAATCTACGATAGCAGAAAAGATGGAATGGTGTTGTTAGCTACAGCATTAACAAAAGTGAAAAAATCACAAGAAGACTACGAGAATTTACGAGTCATAGTAGGTTCCAGGTCCCAGGCATCCTTTATCACAGAGGAAGCTGCATGCCTCCTTGTACTACCCAGAAAAAAGATCAGAGTCGAGATATCAGGTCTTGGGGCAAGAGACCCTCAGACAGCAAAATGGCAGATAGAAACAACAGTCTACCCAAAATTTCCAAGCATCTTCTCTTTGTGCTGCCTTAACTCACACAGATATTACCTGGAAAGCCATCAAGGCCGAAACTCACTAGCAACACGCCACGTCATACTTCGCCACGCCATATGACGAACATGTATGCGTATATTCCTTCCATTTATTTATATGTGCCGCGTATACACTTGCCACACGCGATACCACGTCATGGCACGCCACCCTATCCGTCCATTAAAGGCCGAAACCCACTAGCAACACGCCACGCCACCCCACGCCATGTGACACAGGTTCACGTTGGACAGTTTGTGTGCAAATGGACGGATGGCGTGGTATCGCGTATGGCAAGTGCGTACGCAGCACATATAAATAAATTGAAGAATATACGCATACATTTTCGTCACATGGCGTGGCGTGGCGAAGCATGACGTGGCGTGTTGCTAGTGGGTTTCGGCCTATGTCGATATATCTCAGTGGAACAATGACCTTGTGGCGGATCCTACATTTCAAAAGCCTGGTCTGATTGATATTATTTTGGGCGCCAAAGAATACGATCAGATTTTACTTGAAGGCGTCAGGGAAACGAATGATGGCATACTAGGACAGAACACCGAATTCGGATGGATATTTTCTGGAAACACTGGAATTAACAAAGATAAAAAACTATAGGTGCTAACAGTGACAACCGGCATTCAAGAAGATCTACAGCTAACTAAATTCTGGGAAATAGAGGACATTTCCCAACCAAGACAAATGACTATAAAGATGAGGAGAACTATGAGGAATAATATGATCTAAACACAACCAGAGATAAAGATGGTACTTACACTGTGAGAATACCATTCAATGGCAAAAAACGCAAACTCTGGGAATATGAAAACAGAGAGCTGCAGCAAGACTTATACAATTAGAGAAAAAGCTCTTAAGAGACGAGAACTAAGACTTTACCTAAAAACAATTTATGCAAGATTACCTAGATCTGGGACACATGAAAATCGGCGATGAAAAAGATACAGAATTTTCAAAATACCACATTCCTCATCACCATGTTTTGAAAGAATCAAGTACAACGACCAAGCTACGAGTAGTCTTTGATGCATCCAGCAAGACTTCTTCTGGGTCCAGCCTGAACAAAACAATGTACACTGGTCCCAAATTACAGCAAGAGCTTTCGGATAATCTTTTACGTTGGAGATCACACAGAATAGTTATCACAGCTGACATTGAGAAAATGTATAGACAAATCAAAATCCATCCTAACGATCAGAAATTTCAAAGAATTCTGTGGCGGTTCGATAAAAAATATCCAATAGAAGGATACTGTCTCACAACAGTAACATAATATGGTACAACCGCAGCTCCATATTTGGCGATCAAAACACTGCAGCAACTAGCCAGTGATGAGGCCACAAATTTTCCAAAGGCAGCTAAGGCAGCCATACACGATTTCTATGTAGACGACCTTCTTTCCGGTGCGGATTTTATTGAAGAAGCATTGGAACGCCAAGCTGAACTAATCAAAATGTTTCGCTCTGGCGGGTTCACTTCACGAAAATGGTCCAGTAACTAACAGAAATCAACTCCTACAAGCTCTGCCAAAGGAACTGAACCATAGACCCTTCCCACCTTCCATAGAAATCATAGAAGATGAAACAAGAAAATCTTTCGGAATCCACTGGGCACCACATGACGATACCTTCCGCTTCAAAACTGAAGTAACAGAAGAAACCCGGGTGATATGCTATTGTAAAAGATTTCTGGTCAAATGCAGAAAAAAGAAGCATCCATCGAAATTAACTGTCGAAGAATTTTTTTTTTCTAGACAATGATGAAGATTTGAGAGTAGGAGGTCGACTTCAGCACTCACAACTACCATATAGTAACAAACATCCCATGATCGAAGTCACCGGGCAAGATGCGTAGTCATAGATGCCCATCTCACCACTCTACATGGTGGGAATCAGCTTACATTAGCCTTCACCAGGAAACGATTTTGGATAATAAATGGAGAAAATGCAGTAAAAAATACAATCAATTGTATTAGATGTATCCGATTTAAGGCACAAACAGCAGGGCAACGAATAGGAGACCTTCCAGCCCCAAGACTCACCCCATCGCATCCTTCCTCCAACTCCGGTGTCGACTATGCAGGACCAATACAAATAAAAACGTCAAGGGGCAGAGGTTTTAAGTCATATAAAGGGTACATAGCGAGCTTTGTATGCTTAGTGACAAAGGCTGTTCACTTAGAAGTGGTCAGCGACATGTCTTCTGATATATTTTTAGCTGCTTTTAGAGGATTTGTAGCTAGGAGGGGACCCTGCTTACATCTCTATAGAAATTTTGTTAATGCTAGCAAAATACTCAAAAGCGAGAGAAAAGAAACCATCCAAAAATCCAATATCCAGGACACACTGATATATGCTGGAACACAATGACATTTTATTCCGCCATCAGCCCCGCACTTTGGAGGCTTATGGGAAACTGGACTAAAATCCATGAAATATCATCTAAAAAGAATAATTGGAGACACAGGACTCACCTTTGAGGAACTGTGCACGCTAACACACCAAATCGGAGCCTGTATCAACTCCAGACCACTATGTCCATTATCTAATGATCCAGAAGACCTAGCAGTACTTACTCTGGGACATTTTTTGATTGGACGGGAAATAATCTCACCTCCAGACCCAGTCACGACGAACATCAACTCAAACCTCAATGAAAGATGGAAATTGGTGCAAAAAATCAAACACGACTTCTGGAAAAGCTGGTCAAACAACTATCTACACCAACTTAACAACGATACAAGTGGAATATATCAATCCTAGTAGATGGCCTCTTGCTAAAAGAAGTGTTTTCTACAAGCGATAAGTCCGTTCGAGGAGTCACTGTGAGGAAAGCAGATGGACATACTATGAAAAGACCTATACATAAATTAATTCGAATTTCCATAATACAGCCAAGTCAAGAGGTTGAACAACATGGAAACTCCAAATCCAAGAAACAGCAAAACAAACCACGAAGCATACACCTGTGAAAATTTCCATGATAGCCTTTCTGTTTATGAACACTTTACACAGTGCTAGTGCGCAAAATTACCTACACAATTCATCGAACACATTGGACACGCTAAGATCGACAGAGGAAATTTCGGAATCGAAATCAAATTTGAAAAGTCAAAAATATCTAATGACACTTCCAACGTAGCCCTAGCAATTAAACAGGTGGCGGACCTTTGTCGAGATGCGAAAGAATTAGCAACATCAAGCCAATATGTACATCGCTAATTCATGATTTACGGGAAAAGCAACTTCTCTGGATGGAAAAAGGAATGGAAGCTGTCGTCACCATGCGAGGGAAGCGAGGACTTTTGGGCAAGTTTCTCACTTCAATATTTGGAGTCAACGACGAAGATAGATGAGCTTGACAAAAATCAAAGAGAGCTAATCAAAGCCTCAAATCACCATACTAAGTTTATGTTGCATGCTCTAGCAACATTCAACAAAACGGAGACTAGAATAAACAATAACTTAGAAAGGTTTCAACAAAAACTGATTGAAGGCATCAAGATCATTAACGGGACGCAAGGTTGGTTCCAGAAAGTGGATGAAAACAAGCTGGAAATACATATTTTGAGCACATACCAGATTATGTCAAATCATATAGACGAACTTCTAGAGTACTATAGAAAATTACTGGATGTACATTATCATCGAGCAAACCTTTACGAACTAATATCTCCAGCTAAATATCTTGGTATGACTCTTGATGCGAAATTGCGCTGGAAAGCACATGTTAAGAAAAAAAGGCAAGAGCTTGAATTTAAGTATAGAAAAATGTACTGGTTAATTGGAAGGACGTCCAATTTAACCATATATAACAAGTTACTACTTTATAGGCAAATACTGAAACCAGTATGGGCATATGGAATTCAACTTTGGGGTTGCACTAAAGATAGTAACATACAAGTTATTCAAAGATTCCAAAATAAAGTACTAAGAAATATTGTTAATGCACCTTGGTACGTTCGAAATAGTGATCTACATCGGGAACTAGGAATTGATACTGTAACAGAGACTATAAGAAAGTACGCAAAAAGCCATAAAGATAGACTACATCGGCATGTGAATGTGGAAGTGATTGAGCTCCTAGACAACACTGAGCTAGTTAGACGACTGAGAAGGGTGAAGCCGTTCGAGCTAGTGAACTGAAATTGAAAACCACAACAAAATAGTGCTATAAACACATCAAAATTGTGATTTACAGTTTAAGCAAAGTGGGGAAAACTGTTGAGTGAACCTCAAGAATTGTAAACTTTATAGTCAATTAGGTTAAAACAAAATTGCTAATTAGTCTTACTGACTAGATTGTAATGTAATAAACACAATGTGTTTGACAATTAAAAAAAAAAAAAAAAAAAATATCTCCAGCCCATGCCGAAGAAATAATTGCATCCGCATCCCAGAGGCTGCCATCAAACATTAATATCATTTCCTCCTACCCAATTTTACGTACTGAAGTCCGGCACAGCGATGAATTTATCGACGACTATGGATACTTTATAATGACAGAAATCAACGATTTCGTTCTGTTAAAACCAACACCTATTCCAGTCAAGACCGAACTTACAGGCGGACTACTAGCAGCTGATTATAATTCTCAGTTGTATTTTGACCTGACCGAAGGAGAATTTCGAGATAGCATAAACCTCGGTCAAAATGTTTATGTTTGTTCACCAACCACCACTAGAACTATGGGCGGCACCCCCAATTGCATAATCGACGAAGTTTACCAAAGAATTGAGAATACATTATGCCAAACTCGACGCTATTCCATCCAGTCAGCCGTATGGAAACAGCTTTATACTCCAAACGCATGGATGGCAATAATTACCAATAAACTAAAAATCGCGATTATCTACGATGGTATCAGAGAAGAGGCCACAATAAACCAGACCGCAATGATCGAAATTTCATCAAATTGCGTCATTAAAACAAAGAGAAATATTTTGACTCGGAGAAGATCGGAATCTGTAACTGTTTTAGGAGCTTTCGTCCGCCCAGTTGGAGTAAGTTAGGAAGCATTTCAACCTACCAAGGAAATCACCATGATTCCCTACGACGAACAAGTTATTGATGCCTCCGATCAACTGTCTCAGCTTCAGAGTGAAGAACAAAACATCGATCAACAAGTACAAGACGTCAAATGGACTCAAGTACATCATCATCTAATTAAGTAACTACATAGTACCTCTAATACTGGGAGTGACTGCAATGCTTCTAATATGGTTGTATTTGCAAAGAAATCCAGTAGGCACTCTACCCACACATCAGGACAAGCCTTGGTTGATGCCAAATGTTAAGTTCAGTAACACCAACTCTAACTCCACGCAATGAGAAGCCAAGGTCCCAGAAGCCGATTGGTCAGAATTTCTAATCACATATTAGCAGATATAATGCATACTTCACGAAATATTCAATAAATTCGAAAAAAATCAAGATGGCGGCCATTTTTTTCCAAGTTCCAGGCATATTATTAGCTCCTCTAAGAACAAGAACCAGAAATTGTTTTGATCTGAATTCATTTAAAAGTGAAGCGATTAGTGTTTTTCTTCAGCTTCTGTAAGCTTGGTAGTCGGTAATGTTTTCCTCTACTCGTGGAGTCCAATTTGCTTTAGTGCACGCTGAACTACTTCGAGTATATTTTGGGTAATACGGTTTATATCAATGTAATATAAATTTTACATCTATTGAGCATGACATTATTATGACTTGAAAAAAACTTAGAAATTATATAATTAGGTAAAGTAGTTACGTGAATATTTCTACCTTAAATGTAGCTGTGTTTACTGGGGATTGACACCATACTCACTACTACTTTCTATTAATATGTAGTCGAAATCGTATTCCGGATCTATCTTTAAATACATCTTTATCGAAAATAGAATTCCCAGAAAAGGGAAGTTTCCAGGCGTGAACAACGAAATTCATAGAATCCGTCCGAGCTCCCGAGACAGTTTCCGTAAAAATCTTGAACAGCAGTTACTTTTTATTTCATTCCTAACTATAATACCATATCTGTTTCTTATTTTGATCACGTTTGACCTTCCGTTTCATTACTAAGATCTTAGAACTTGAGAACTTCTATACTTTTGTTGGCTTCGTTTGTATTTTTGAGCATCCCTTGCTTGGGTCTTTTCGAACGTTCCTGTGGATGTCCTTGCTAAACTTCCTATGGTGCTGTCCTGGTTTTCTCTTCACAATTTTAATAGATTTTCGTATGTGACCTAATCTTGCTGAACTTTTTCTTCTGTCTTGAGCATATACTTTTTGTTGCAACCCGGATACTGCTCGACATGTTATCCCAAAGTTTGCCTCACTAAATTTATGTAGATACCTAATCCATCGGAATATTCAAGATAGGTCCTCACCAAAGCAAAGCTTAGTATATTGAAAGAGTGCTCGCTATAGAAAACTCTCCAGACGCTAAATGAACTCAAGTATTCTCAATGGTTTAGTAACAATACAAGAAATATATGGAGCCAAAGAAAGAGAATCCAAGTCCAAGGTCCAAAGGATGACTAATCTAAAAAACTAGATAAATTTACACTTTGAGATATTTAGCGCTACCACGTCTATTCTAAACCAAAAGGCGAATATTTTAGGAAATCCTGAAGGTCCAACCAATGTCCAAGAGTAGATATTGATAACTTAATTTCTAAACATCTTCATGTCGATAACGAAAAGCGAGACTTTGCTTGATTGGAAACATGCCAAGAGATTATCAATACACAAATAGGAGAGCAAGGGTCCGATGTGGGACCGCGATCTCATAAGACTTGGAATTACTTATTCACTCAGACCCAGACTACTGGGCGGCGATTTCTCATTTCCGCTATAGAATCGGAAACTTCAAATGCATGCAGCTTACTCAATAATATCTGATGATCCTCCATGTTAAGGGACTTCGAACAGTTGGTGTAGAATGTTGATAAAATGAACTTTAAACCTTAGATCCCTTCCCCAAAATCTGGTAATTTGACTACACTAATTCTGGTGATATTGATGTAGCTGCACTACATCACGAGAATCTTTCCTTGCTCTTAATGAGGCATTAGGCTCGTCGAAACATCATCAGTGCAACAGCAAAATGATATTTGCCAGCATTTTACCTTCATTGATCTAATTTCAAGTTTAGCCTAGAGTTTTATTAATATAGAATCACTAGTTAACTCCCTAAATAGTTAAACTCTATGTAGCTTGCAAACTGGTGCAACATTTTGGGAATCAGAAACAATTATATTGTTCCAACATTATGAGAAAGTTTAGCTGTCAACGGAAATTGGATGTGAAAATCCATGCACCTAACTTTTGGATATATATAGGAGTTATTATATTAAGGACGAGGAGGTATTTTATAGCAAAGTTGTAACTGTTTGTTCGAGTTGAACATTTCAGGTCGTAATGAGCAATAAGTGAACGATACTTTAACAATCTGATCCAGAAAGTCTTTTTTTGGTAAACTAATTTTGTTCTATTTTTTTTTTTTCAGCTCCTCCTGATTGTGAACCTGGACAGCTCACCTGCAGACAGTACATATTCAACAAAACTTACTGTATACCACCCCACTACAGATGTGATATGAACGTGGACTGTATCGATGGATCTGATGAATCGGAATGCAGTAAGTATTCTAGTTCTACAACCTCAATGGATTCAGACCCTATTTTGGCTTAAAGCCTCCACGCTATCTGCGAACTGATAGGTATTTTCAACAGTTCATTTATTTTCATGTTGGGAAATAAACTTCTTTAAACGATACGCATTAAATAGATATTGATGGTTTTGTTAGTTTCAAGAAATCTTTATTTGTTGATTGATGATATAAAGTTTCTTCTAAGGTAGGTACTTATTTACTTTATTCGATTCAATATTATTATAAAGCAGTAAAATAACACAAACTAAATAATAGACAACTTCGCCCATTTACTTAAATGAATCCGTGCCAAACTTCTGCAAAGTCGAAATAAACTTTAGTATTGCTGATAAACTTCCATTTGATAATTATCGTCTATTTCGACTTTATGTAAAGTTGATGAAGGTTTTCACTTTGCATATATTTGCACTTAATTAATTTATTGTTCAAACAATTACTCCAAATTGGTAAAAATCGTAATTTTCAGGCTGAGGTACTTGAAAGTTGAAATCTATAGGCACAAAAATATAGTGAGAAACAATGTATAATATCATCAAATGAGAGCATAGTTCTTTTGCTGTCTGAAGCCATAATATTATGTTCCAAATAAAAACGTGCTACAAAACTTCCCAAATAATTATTTTCCAAAGGAGTGTTTTTACTCAATTCAAGTTCGATATTTGCATCACTGGTTCAAGATTGCATCTATATATTTCCATTATTCTTACTATTTCGATGATACATTTGCAACTCTTATCATGATGTTTCCATTTCCTGCAATGGACATCTCTGATTCGAACATTGAAACTGCGTTTTAAAGATCATTATAGACAGAATGTATTTAGGTGTCATGTTGAGTCAAGAGTTCTGTTGGCCAGAGTTTACAAGAGTTTGAATCTATAAAGTTGGAACAAGTAAGTTTTGCAGCTTGCAGCACTCCGCGAACTGATGGTTTCTAGTTAATGTAATACGTAAAACGTAAATGTAAAATGAAATGTAATATTTTTTCTTTTGTAAAATCACCGGCAGTAGTTTCCAAATATTTAATAATAGAAATACTTTATCCTGGCCATGCGAAATTAAACTCATTTTAGACCTTCCACTGCAGGCCTGTATACTTGTATTTATGATATCTTTTTTGGCTATATTTTTTTAATTCACTGCCAGGTGTTTAAGTTTTCTCACTTGAAGAAATCTTTAGTACACATTTTCGTATAACCGCACAACCCAAAGGTTTTTGCATAGCCCTTTTATATTAGAGATTTTTAATCAAAACTTCTGGTTCTTTAAAATAAACTGTATGGTCATCAAAATAATAGATAGATAGAAACGTATAAGGCTTCTACAATAATCAATTTCAAAAGGCCCCTTTTCAAAAGAAAATGATTAGCCTAATAAGTTATCCTAAAGCCCCCCCTACGGGAAGACGGATCCATTTCCCAATTTCTGGACAAAGAAAAACTTCTATTTAACGTAATCGGCTTTAAAGTTCAGCCAGGCGCGAAATAAAACTCCTCTGTTCAGGGATGGATGTTTTCTTCTAGTCCGGTTTTAAATCTTTATAAAGGTCGCGGGATTTTCTATTGTCGAGTGGAAATTGGAATGAATGAGAGAAGTCTTAATTACCTTTTATATACTGAGACTAAAATAGCTTCGTTTCATTATTTAGTACAATTTTTGCCTCTTGTGATGGATTGACGTATTGCATTATTCCATAATGATACTTTTTGATAAAGCAAATCAAATAATATAGTTCAAAGTAGAGAGATTGTATTTCCTTTCATATGAATTATTTTTTAATTCTATCATAATTTCTTTTGCAGAAATTTTATTCTTGATCATTTCCAAAATGTTATCCGATAAGCATTGCACAACAACATTTCTTGCTTTAATGTCCTTTTTCTTAAAATCTGCTATCACCTTTGGATCTTCAGTTGCTGCTGGGGGATCCTTTTCTAGTACTTCCAATACTTCGTAATAATCCAGTAGCAATTTGATTCTAAATTCCCAAACCATCAAACAGTTTCACATTTATTGTAGCGGATACTGTAGCCATTTTCACGTTTTCACCTTTCGCTTTCTACTTATTGTTTCTTCCCTATATTCACTTTCGTGATACACAACGACACTGGGCCCATAACCTGTGAGCTTGCAGTGAATAAATAAAACAATTTCCTGTTAAAGCACAACTAAAGTTTATTATTAAATTAGTACTGAAGTACTGAAAACAAAGACAATTTTTTAAAGCTTCCTGCGACTCGTTACAACATAACATAACTTATATTACACGACTCGACTTGGAACAAACTCAGCTGACTGACTGACAGTTGACATACGGCATATAACCTAAATTCTACACTAAACGAAAGACAGATGCTGGCGTGAGCTACCAGAAAGGGGATTTAATATATGATTGTCATTCACATCAACATTATTCACTTTGAACTTCTTTATACTACTTCCTCCTACCTTGTACGGAATATTTCTGGAAAGAACCCGGGAAAAAAAAGTACTTAATTGTCAAAATAAGTGTACCAAACACATCAGTCAATAGCTTACCGTACTTTCAAACTCACTCGAAGCCTACAACTTTATCTACATGTCTAAGCTCATTGCCAAATGACATTATATAGTCATGTTCTAACAATAGAGCTTATCGTCCCGAGACGATTTTCAATAAAGAATGCATAAGGAAAATGAGATTGCAGAATTGAAAAGTGGGAAAACATCCGGAAAATTCACCTACATCGGCACAAGCAGAGGCAATATATAGGGATTTCTTTTATATTTTCGTTTTTCTTTGTGACGATATAGGCGAAGACGGGGGAACTTTTTTTTGTGTTCTTATTTATCAGCTCGCAGAGAACAGGCGCGAGATAATAAAGATATAGGATTGATGACGGGTAAAAGGGCGGTTTCGCGTAAGGATAAAACAATCAGTTTGTTTTATTTTGTTCTCAGTTAGGTATTTAACAAACATCTATGGTAGATTTTGTGCTAATTTATTGAGAGTTGAAATATGATTTTTAATGCCAAATATCCCTAAAACCCAGGCAAATTTTACGAGGCTTGTGTTCACCAGACAGAAAAACAATTTCAAAACCTCTTGAAATTGCCTCGAACTTAAGAATAGGGCTTAAAAAACACATAATTTCCTAAATGAGCGGTTTTATTTCACGCTACGATTGGCATTAAGCATGTTTTACGAGAAAAAGGCCACTTCCCTCTGCATCGAAAATGAACAAATGTACTTTTTTTTTGACGCATATTAAACTTGAGACATTAGGCGAATTGTTTTCTGATGAAATTTCGATTTGTTTTTCCAGCGTACCGGAAATGTCAAGCGGACGATTTCCATTGCGGCCCGAAAACTTCAGATCCTTGCATACCGAAGGAAAAAAAGTGCGACGGATATTTGGATTGTAGAACCGGCAAAGACGAGCAAAATTGTCCGGGAATTTCTTGTAGGCTCGATCAGTTCAGATGTGCGAATGGACAAAGGTAAGATACATTGGAAATACGAGACGCCCTCTAAAAATCTGGATTACAAATATTATCATATTGAGAGTTAAAAGTCAAAATTGTATGTTGAAGTGAAAGGTAATTTGGTCAACGATGAACGCAAAGATACATCCTTAGATTGTATTGTAATTTCATCTTTATTCATTGGTTCTTCAAAATCTTTCTTCATTGTTCTTCTTAACTTTGGATCAATTGGTGTTGGTGAACTATCACAATTTTCAAAATTAAAATCCCATTGAATACATATTTCCTTTGACTTAACTCCAAAATTCCCTCTTGTCCTTTGTAATTAATTTCAAGTCGCAAAAAATGTTTTAATTCTCCTTTATCCTTTATTACAAAATGCTTAACTAAATCATCCCTACATGCCACAATTTTGTTATAAATCTGCCCTGTAATTATAATGTCATCTACATATAGCAACAATAGTATTTTACATTATTAGCCAGGTAAAACAGTTTTTACCGGTGATTGAAGGAAATGACTAGCGAGCCGTCAGGCGAGCTTGTCACCTTCAATAGCCAGTAAAAACTGATACCTGGCGTATGGTGTACAATAATTTATTTGTTACTCATTTGTAAACAATAAATAAAAAATTAATACATAGGTAATACCATTTCAATAAATAATTCTACTGACCCTACTGACTAAAGTAAAAAGTTTTTACAGTTCAGCTGTCAATTTTACAAGTCAGTAGAGCCAGTAACTGGTAAAAATCAATTTTCGTTGTATATTTTTTGACTTCATAAATGACGTTTTACAAATGACGTTTTACAAATAAATACATTAATTCATCATTACCAAAATCTTTTATACACAAACAGTAATCAGTTTTTGATCTTTCAAATCCTAAATCTAATATATGACTATTTATTTTATTAAATATTCCAACATTTAGAAGCTTGCTTTAAATCATATAAAGCTTTTTTCAATTTGAGTACAATATCAGATTGGCATTCAATCATCTCTGGTGGATGAATATACACATCCTTATTCACATCCCCATTCAGAAAAGCGGTTTTAACATCTAGTTGTTTAAAATATGAAACTTATACTAATTTCCATTGGACAAAATCATTCTTGTGGTTGACATAAAGCTCGTTGTCATTATATCGGGTCTTCAAAAAAAAAAAAACAATCGAAGATTGCTATGGTTTTTCAAACGTATGTCTTAGCAATATTTGCCTTTAATTTTGTCAATGAACTTTAATGTCAAAATGTCACGTCAAAAATCCTGACCAATAAAGAAACAGTAATGCGACGTACGTTTTCGTAATCAAAGCAATCTTCGATTGCGATTGTTTTTTTTTTTTTTGAAGACCCGATATCTTTACACATTAGTAGACTTTTTTCACAGTTATCAAACCAATACCCACCTTCACTACGTAAAAATCCCCCTCCAGCACAGCCATCATACCAGTACCCACCTCCACACACTGTAAACCGCCTTTCGTCTTCCGCGAAGCTCCTACCCTAAGAAGGCACTTTCTTTATATCCCTCCACTTTCTTGAAAACTAAAGAATAATTAACTAATTCTTCCATTTGTATTCGTCAATTTTGGGATTGACCCGGGTCAAATCCCCAAAATTTCAGGTCAAAGGCGCCGCCGATCTAGAGATTTTCCCACGGTATCGAAAAAGTTCCCAGGCTCAAGTACCCCCGTAACGTTTTCACAGCTATCAGACCAATACCCACCTCTACTACGTAAAATCTCCCTTCCCGCACAGCCATCATACCACTCCCCACCTCACTGTAATTTTCAAAAAGCTCCTACCCTAAAATCCCCCACTTTAAGCCCCACCAAAAAATCATTTTACTGCTATACAGTGTGTTACATACCTCACACTCTTAAGAATCTTCAGTCTATTACCGTTTACAAAACAATTTCAAGTTCATACAAAGTTATTCAGTTCAGTTCAGTTGTTAGTTCAGTGATAACCAAAACAAATGTTGCCTCCAGCATTAGTGATACAAGTTTCAGAGATCCAAATTAGTTTTCTCAATCGCCTAAATGAACTTTAGAGTCTATAAGCTTATGATTCGGATTTTATTATTTTTATCGAGGAAGTGATCGAATTGTGTCAACATTTGCCGCAAAATAAAATAAGTAAGACACATTTTCGCGATCATTTGCAAATAACCTATTTGGGTTTGGAATCAAATATATTCGCAGGATATACAGGTTGTCCCCGTTCAACTGGTCAAAAATGCTAGGGTATATAGAGGAACCATAGAGAAGTAGTTTGAGATAGGACACATAAAGCAATTTGTTTCAAAATTGTTTTTTTTTCAATATTTTTTTTTTCTGATTCCAGCTTGAAACTGGGGGTGCCATTATACGAATTTTTAAAGACCATTCCTACATCAATAATCCCTGAAAATTTGAACAGCCAGCATTAGCCTTTCAAATGATATGAAAGGGGGTTGTTCAAATTTCAACACCCTGTATTTTGGAAACGACGCCCTTCCGTCTATCGGTGTTCTATCTCAAACTACTTCTCTATAATTCCTCTACACACCCTAGCATTTTTGACCAGTTGAACGGGGACACCCTGTATAGAATACATGATATTTGAAAAAGATATAAGAATTTATATTTAATAAATCAAGATTTCTTATATCATTCCAATGTAGTGGAATTCAGAATCAACTTTAAAGTTCCATTTGTCGATGCCGATTTTGAGTATTTTTCAAAAGCTCTACTCTACAATATGAAGAACCGACCAATGATAAGAGTTCTTTTACTTTAAACACATGAACCATATTCTTTCACTTATTTCAATAAATGTTCATATGATGATTCTTTATCAGAACTAGATTATTATTTTGGACATGATGCAGCTAATGAATTTTGCAAACTAATTGAAGCTCATGTTCATAGAATTTATAAAAATTATAAAACATGTAGAACCGATGTTTTTTCTAACAAATTAAGAAGAATTTCAATTTGAAAATAGTATCATTTGCAATGAAAAATTCAATCCTTTAGATGAAAAAGTAAGGGATCGTGATCATTTAACTAGAAAGTACCGAGGTGTAGCACATAGTATTTGCAATTTAAACTACAAGCTCCCCAGTTTCATTCCGGTGTTTTCCACAATCTAACAGGACACGATAGCTATCTATTTATCAAACAACTTTGTTGTGAAAATGATATAATTGATATTCTTGCACCAAGTCAATATTGGTTGACAAAATTGAACAACCGAAAGTTAAATATGTTTTTATATGGCTCAGATTTCTAGATCCTTTCGCTAGTTCATTAGAAAGTCTTGGTAATAGCTTAGATTACCAATCAATGTGCAGAAATTAAAATATATTTTCAAGATTCAAATCAGTTTAATGAAATTAGAAAAAAAGGAATTTATCCTCATTCTTATGTAGACTGCATGGACAAATTAAATGGAACCCAACTTCCAAGTATTGAAAACTTTTATGATAACCTCAAAGAAACACCTTCAGATCCTTCAGTTTATGAATGAGCTATTCATATTTGGATATACCTAGTAGAGGTGGGTATTGGTCTGATAGCTGTGAAAACGTAACGGGGGAACTTGAGCCTGGGAACTTTTTCGATGCCGTGGGAAAATCTCTAGATCGACGGCGCCTTTGATCTGAAATTTTGGGGATTTTACCCGGACCAACCCCAAAAATAACATAATACAAATGGAAGAATTGGTTAGATATTCTTTAGTTTTCAAGTGGAGGGATATAAAAAAAGTGCCTCCTCAGTGTAGGACCTTCACGGAAGGGGATTTACAGTGGAGGTTGGTACTGGTATGATGGCTGTGCTGGAGGGGGGTTTTTACGTAGTAGAGAGGTGGGTATTGGTCTGATAGCTGTGAAAACACTCTACTCACAATTCTTTTATTTTTTGCACTAACAATTGGTTAAATTTATTCCTCTAATTCTGGCATTTCATTATTTACTTCATCTTTTTCAAGTAAGTCTCTATTTTTTCAAATTGTATTCCTACTTCTGGAAATTTGTAGTGAAATTCATCTTCGTTAAAAATTACGTCTCTTGCTACAATTACTTTTTGCTCCTCAATATTCCATAGCCTATTACCAGTTGTTGTGTACCTATCCGATCATATTTGGCTTTGATCCGTTCCAAATTTTTGCTGATGTTGTATTTGTAAGACTATTACTTAGTGTTCTATTTAATGAATAAGCTGAAACTCTCACTGCTTCATTCCATAAATACTTTGGCATATTGCTTCTAGAATCATGGCTCTAGCTTTATCAATCAGGCTTCTATTAAATCTCTCAGCTTTTCCATTTTGTTCTGGAGTGTATGGAGTTGAAAAATCAATGACAGTTCCATTATCAATGCAACATTTTTTCATTCCACCAGATATGTATTCCCTTCCATTATAGCATCTAAGTGTGAAAACCTTCTAATTAAATTTAGTGTGAACCAGATTAATATATTCTTTGAAATAACTAAAAACTTCAGCTTTACTTTTCAATGAACGTGACAATTCCTTTTCCCCCATCATGACTTAATGGCATTACTGGTCCAGCAACATCTGAATGTATGATTTCTAATGGCGTTTCCGATTGGTAAATTCAGTTCGCACTGAGTGTATTTGCATCCTTTTAATCAACCTGTAGAAGAAAAAGACAGAAATAGAAAAAATTGCACTAGTTCCGCACTAAATCTACCAATCGGAAACGCCATAAAATTCTCTTTGAACTTTCTCTGGTACCAAAAAGAAATCTTGACATTTTTTCAGTACCTACAACCTTCACAAAAATCATTTTACCTATTTTCACTTTTTCAATACCTTGAGCTAAATTATTTTTGAAAAGTTTTTCCAAATTTGCATAGCAAATATGTCCCAACCTTTTGTGGCCTAATTTTGTATTTCTATCCTCAGTTTCAAAATTTAAACATTCTTTATTATTTATAACTTTAAATAAAATTCCATACAATTTAGCTCTATGTCCTAAACCAACTAACGTTTTGTTACTGCATAAAAGCACTTTTCGCTGATCAAAAATTTCTTTAATATTTGCCATTTCTAACGTTTTAACTGATAATAAATTCCGTTGCAGGTTGGGTACATAAAACACATTTTTAATTTTACACTCTACCTCCTTATCATAAACTTTGCTTAAAACTGCAATGTTCCCTACACCTAACTGCTTGCATAAAACTTTTATCTTTAGCTACTGCTATATTTATTAGATTCTCAAGCTCCAAATAATCAGAGAATTTTTTTTTTGTAAATAATGAAATGAACTGTGCACCCTGAATCAACATAAAATGAAAGTTCATCAGTGTTTGTACTTACAGTTCCATTGTCATTATTAGTTGTAATGAAACATATTGAATCTTCTTGGGATTCAACATTTAACTCAGTCCTTACCCCTTGCATTTTCATAATGTTGATTTTGAAAGCCTCTACCTCTATTTCTGTAACTGCTTCTTTGAAGTATTCCTCGGAGTAGAGTGTTTCCACAGCTATCAGACCACATACCCACCTCTACCGCGTAAAACCCCCCTCCAGCACAGCCATCATACCACTACCCACCTCCACTGTAAACCCCCTTTACTGCCCCTCCAGCACAGCCATCATACCACTACCCACCTCTACTATAAACCCCTTTCCCTGAAGCTCCTACCCTAAAATCCCCCCACTATGAGCCCTACCAAAGAAATTATTTTACTGTTATATACCCCCCTCCAGCACAGCCATCATACCACTACCCACCTCCACTGTAAACCTCCTTCCGTGATGCTCCTGAGCACTTTTCTGATTCAAGTGCCCCCAGACCTCTTCTACGTAAATGGTTCACCAGATTCACAAATTTTGGGGTTCGCCCGGGTCAAATTCTAATTTCAGATCAAAGGCGCCGATTTTCCCACGGTATCAAAAAAGTTCCCACGCTCAAGAGCCTTCAGCTATCAAACCAATACCCACCTCTACTACATTAAAAAGCTTCTACTCTGAAGAGGTACCATATCCCTTCAATTTCTTGAAAACTAGAGAATACCTAAACAATTCCTGCATTTGTATTCATGAATTTTGGAGTTGGGCCGGCTCAAATCCCCAAAATTTCAGTTTTGCGGTTCTCAATATTTTTGAGTGGAAGCAAGTGGTGAAAAACCTTGCTAATTTATTGATACATCTTCGAAAAATATGGTTTGATTTTTCATTGAAACACAATAAAATAAAAAATCAAGTTATCATTTTATTAAAAAAATTATACAAATTGGAATTTTGAAAATCTTTTTTCTTTCCTGTTGCCTAAATTTTTGGTGGGGGACAACACTCTACTCCACGGCCATTAGAATTACCTCAAAAACCATCTCGATTATAGCCTCTCCGAAAACTTTGATTAAAACCTCTCCAAAAACTACCTCTATGAAGCTTCTTCTTAATCCAAAACCACGTCTTAAATTTCCGATGCCAATGTAACATGGTTTATATTAGGACACACTTTTTTGAAATGACCATTTTTTCCACATTGATAACATACGTATCTGTCGAAAACTCTATCTGTCGTAAATGATGCAGATTTGTTCCATGCTGCTTCATAGTTGTTTCAGTTATTGCTCTATTCTTTTCAATCTCACTAAGATCATTTGGATCCATATTTTCTAAAACGGTTATAATTGTTTCAAAGCTCTTTGGAATTGCTAGTAACAAACTGCAAACTATCTTTATCTTGAATATCAGCACCTGTGGCCTTCAGTTATCTAATAGTGTCATCAAATTCATTTAAGAAATGTTCCAAATTTTCCATTTCATTTAGTTTCATAGACATTAATTTACGCCTTAGCATTAGTTGGCATGGTTCCTGGTATACCTTTTTTTTCGTAGCGATTCTCAAAACTTTTCCACATAGCATGAGCAGTTTCCTTGTCTCGAAGTGTATCTAACTGTGTATCTTCTAAGCATTGTAGGTACAATAAAAGATTTACATCGCTGGTCTTTCTTCTTAGGTTCTTGCAATTTCTTTCCGTCACTATAATCAAATCACTGGCCCTGAATTCCTTCTCTACAGAATCTTCACCATCTTTTTCTTCCAGTAATATCTCAGTATTGAAATTTCCTCTTTATTTATTGGTTCTTTAAATAAACTTGCTTCATTCTAAGTTTCCAAGCTTGATAATTTTGCTCATTCAGGGTTCAATATTGACAGTGTTATTTTTTCCTGCAATGGTGCTCATTTTTTCATTTCAAAATTTTCTTTTTCTTCACAAAATAGAGAGCCCATAACCTATTGAATTTTCATCTTAATTTATTGTTTTTTTTTTTTTATTATTCAATAATACAATGATAATTATTATAACAATTGAAACCCTTATCGGCCTTATCAACTACTTTCAACTGTCTGGAACAATTTCTATCTAGATAATTTTTTGGTTAATTCTATAGGAATATGTTCACACACACATTCTGTCACCTCTTGACATAAAACATTGAGCGTTATAAAATTTCAACAACACAATTTCAGAAACCCTGACAATACAAATTCCTATAAAATATTCAGATGTCAAGAAAAGCATTACAAAATGTTTAATTTCACAACAAACATTTACTTTCTTCCAAAAATTGACTGTAAAAAATTCACCATTCTCATCACAGGCTTGTTCTGAAGTATCAAAGTATCTTCATTTACTTTTCTCTTGCCAGGTGCATCGAAGCTTCACAGAAATGCGACCACAAAAACGACTGCGGCGACAATTCCGACGAACAAGGCTGCAACTTCCCAGTCTGCCACGGAGTCCAATTCAGATGCGCTAACGCCCTTTGCATCCCTGGAGCTTTTCGTTGTGACGGGTACCAAGACTGTAGTGACGGTAGCGATGAAGTAAACTGCACCGCCATAGCTTGCCCGGATAATAAATTCTTATGCCCCAAAGGAACACCGCAGGGCACTTACAAATGCATTCCCAAAAGTAAACTTTGCGATGGCAAAAACGATTGTGAAGATCATGCTGATGAAGAAGCAGCATGCTCGAAACTGGCTTGTCCTGTGTTAAATTGTGAGCACAAATGTCAGGCTTCGCTAACTGGAGGTCAGTGCTATTGTCCAGACGGAAAAATACTGGCTAGTGACAACAAAACATGCGCAGATAGAGATGAATGTTCTTTATGGGGCTATTGCGATCAGTTGTGTGCCAACACACCTGGAAGCTACAGCTGCAGCTGTGCATCTGGATATACCCTGAGAGATCGTAACCGATGCATTGCTGACGACTCGAATAACGTCCAACTATATTTTGCACAGGACAAAAGTATTTTTATGATGAATCCTTCAGGAAGCAATGTGAAAATCGTTGTTAATACAACTGGCGCTAGCGGTTTGGATTTTCACTATAACAGAAATGTGTTGTTCTGGTCCGATGTCAAAACCAAAAGAATCCATTCGCAGCAGCTCAAAGGCACCTCTTCGTTTGGTCCTATTGAACGTGACATTGTTCTTCCAGGTACTTGGTTACCTGTAGCCATAGCAGTGGATTGGGTAGGAGACAAGCTTTACGTAGCAGATGCTATTGGTCAAAAAATTGACGTATTTGAACTGCAAGCAGCTCCTGGACAGAATCGTGGTCACGCCATAGCTTTAAGCTCCAACCTAAGCAATCCAGCTGATATAGCATTGGATCCCACAGTTGGTCTGATGTTTGTAGCGGATAGCTCACAAGTTTTAAGAGCGAACATGGATGGAACCAACTCATTTTCAATTGTTTCCGAAGCAGCTTACAAAGCTTCCGGTATTGCAGTTGATATTATTGCCAAACGAGTCTTTTGGTGCGATTCTTTGTTGGATTATATTGAAACTGTGGATTATGAAGGACAAAACAGATTTTTGGTTGTTAGAGGACAACAAGTCCCTAGTCCAGCACGCTTGGCATTATTTGAAACCAGAGTGTATTGGACAGACAGTACTAAACAAGGAGTAATGTCTGTGGACAGATTCGAAAGCACTAGCATCCAAAGTATTTATCGTATGAGAGATATACGAGATCCTAAAGCGATCAAAGCTGTACATCCTTTAGTGCAAAGATACGTCAACAATCCTTGCGGAAATAATAATGGAGGATGTCAGCACATGTGTATTGTTACCAAAACTGAAGCGAGAATACCGATTTTGGGTTACAGATGTGCTTGTAATATTGGCTACAGATTACTCTTGGATGAACAAAAATGTGACCTTATTGATGACTTTTTAATGTACTCTCAGCAAAGATTCATCAAAGGTAAAGTTTTGGATCCAGTTGTTGAAGGATTTAGTGATGCCATCTTACCAGTTGTTTCTAGAAGAGCAAGGTAAGAGTCTCAAGATGTAATTTAATGAGTTCTAATTATTATTATTTAGGTTTGTTGGTTTGGACTTCGATGCCAGTGAAGAGCAGATTTATTACTCCGATGTGCTCCAAGACGTTATCTACAGAGTGCATCGTAATGGCGAATCCAAAGAAATAGTTTTGGCCTCTCAAAATGAAGGCGTGGAAGGTTTGGCAGTGGATTGGGCTGCTAAAAATTTATATTACATCGACAGCAGAAAAGGTACCCTTAACGTCTTATCAACGAGAAATGTTACGTATAGAAGAACTTTGCTGAAAAATTTAAAAAGACCTAGAGCTATAGTAGTGCATCCTAATAAGGGATTTTTGTTTTTCTCTGAATGGGACAGACCAGCAAATATTTCAAGAGCGTTTACTGATGGTACCAATTTAACAGTATTCAAAAATCTTACTTTGGGTTGGCCAAATGGTTTATCTATTGATTTTGAAACTGACAGACTTTATTGGTGCGATGCTTTACTGGATCACGTGCAGCATTCTAAGTTAGACGGCACGGATATAAGAACAGTTAATTCAAGATTGATCCGTCATCCCTTCAGCATTGTAATTTACAAAGAATTTATGTACATAACTGATTGGCGTTTGGATGCCATTATCCGACTACATAAGCTGACAGGTGAAGGAGAAGAAACTTTAGTACGGGAACCGCAAACTAATAGATTATACGGAGTAAAGATTTATTCTAGAAGTGAACAAAATGTTACCGAATTGCATCCTTGCCACATGAATAATGGCGAATGTCAAAAATTGTGCTTTGCTATACCAACAGAAAATGAACGATTAATTTCCAAATGTGGCTGTCCATATGGAGAAAGACTTATAGAAGACCAAAAAACTTGTCAAGCTGATCCTAACCATGAGCCACCGGTACAAGCTTGCCCTAACAGTTGGGACTTTACTTGCAATAACCAAAGATGTATTCCAAAATCTTGGGTATGTGATGGAGATGATGATTGTTTGGATAATAGTGATGAAGAACAGAATTGTACTAGTAAGTATTATTCAGAATATAGTAGCTACAATGTGCTAATTCATACAATTCCAGAACCTACATGTAACGCGCAAGAATTCCAATGCAAATCAGGCCGTTGCATTCCATTAACTTTCAAATGTGATGCTGAAAACGATTGTGGAGATTTCAGTGATGAAACTGGATGTGTTAATGTCACTTGTAGCTCTACTCAGTTCCATTGTGATAATGGAAGATGTATTCCAAGCAGGTAACTTACTATAGGTACCACAAAACTGAGTGCACAATAATATATCTTTATTTTATTTTCAGCTGGAAATGTGATTCTGAAAACGACTGTGGTGATGGAAGTGACGAAGGCGATTCCTGCGCAGAAAAAACATGCGCCTACTATCAATTCACTTGCCCTAGAACTGGACACTGTATCCCACAAAATTGGGTATGCGATGGAGATGACGATTGTTTCGACAAACAAGACGAACAAGATTGTCCGCCAATCACTTGCAAGTCTAACCAATTCAAGTGCGCTGATTTGAGACAATGCGTACAAGAGAGCTACAAATGTGATGGGATTCCTGATTGTAATGACGGCAGTGATGAGTTGGGATGCCCCTCCATAGCACCCGATCAATGTAACTTGGAAAAACACTTCCAATGTCAATCGTCGGGCATTTGCATTCCAAAATCCTGGCATTGCGATGGAACTCCGGATTGTGACGATAGATCTGACGAACCTGACACGTGTGGCAACATCGACAATTGTCCTCTCAATTTCTATCAATGCAGCAATCATCAGTGTATTCATAAAGCCTACATTTGTGATGGTGTAGATGATTGTATAGATCACTCGGATGAAAGCTATATTCATGCTTGCAAGAAGCCTCCATTTAGGTGTCCATTTGGTCAATGGCTATGTCCAGGAATAACTGATCGTTGTGTTAACTTGACCAATGTTTGTGATGGAAAAACAGATTGTCCTAATGGAGCAGATGAAGGCCCTGATTGTGACTTCAAAGAATGCCAACATCAGAGCGGCCTTTGTTCTAACGGTTGTAAACAAACTCCAACTGGTCCTTTGTGCTTGTGTCCAGAAGGAGAAACTCTGAAAAGTGATGGCATGAATTGTGAAGATCTCAATGAATGCGAACCGACAGGAATATGTTCTCAGACTTGTGTTAACACTAAAGGATCTTATTTTTGCAGCTGTGTTCCCGGATATCTTCTTGAACCAAATAAGCATTCTTGTAAAGCTTATAGTAGGTTTTTGCATTAACTTCTTTGATTACCTACTAATGATATTACATTTTTTAGATCATTCTGCTGCCTTCCTTATAATCTCTAACCGTCATTCAATTTTGGTGGCTGATCTTAAAGATCAAGGATTAGAACGAGTGCCTATAATAGTAGAAAACGTAGTAGCCACAGCCTCAAATATGCATTCAGGCACCATTTTTTGGTCAGACATGAAGTTGAAGAAAATTTCCAAATTGGATAGGAATAGCGTTCCAGTAGACATAATTTCCACTGGTTTGGACTTGGTCGAAGGTTTAGCCTATGATTGGATAGGTGGCAATATCTACTGGTTAGATTCAAAACTAAATACCATTGAAGTTTCTAAAGAAAGTGGCTCTAACCGAATTGTGTTGGTTAAAGAGAATATCACCCAGCCTAGGGGAATGTGTTTGGATCCAAAACCAGGGTAAGGATTAATTTTGTCCATTTAATAAAGTTTTCATTTGCCTTGTTCTAGTGCAAGATGGCTTTTCTGGACTGATTGGGGCGAAAATCCTCGCATTGAACGTATCGGCATGGACGGTACCAATCGTTCTACTATCATCAATACCAAAATCTACTGGCCCAATGGATTAACTTTGGATACCACTACTAATCGTATCTATTTCGCAGACTCCAAGCTAGATTTTATCGACTTCTGCAACTATGATGGTACTGGACGCCAAAACGTTTTGGCTGGCAGCCATTACCTACTGCATCCTCATTCTTTGACAATTTTTGAAGACACTTTATATTGGACTGACAGACAACTGAACAGAGTGTTATCAGCACATAAGTTTAAAGGAAACAATCAAACAGTAGTTTCCCATTTGATATCACAACCTTTAAGCATTCATGTTCACCATCCAAGCCTGCAGCCTGTCACTGAGAACCCTTGTGCACAAGCGACCTGTCAGCAACTATGCTTAGCTAGTCCCAGCTCTGCTAGCGGTTATACTTGCAAATGTAGCGCCGGCTTCAAGCTGACACCAGAAGGAAAATGTACAGAAGATGACACTCCGTTTATACTTTTAATGAGAGGAACGCAAATTATTGACACAAGTCTCACTCCAGGAGATAATGTAGCAGGAATTATTACTCCTATTGTCGGAATTGAAAATGGAAAACAGGTTGAATACGATAAGAAAACTAATGCTATCTTCTGGTTGGAAGCTAGAGCAGACGATGAAGATAATGTAAGTAATTTTTGTTAAATAGATAGATAGATAGATAGATAGATTTATAAAGACAATAAGCACTGCTGCAGTACGTCATCAATTACATGTAAAAAAATACAATTAAAAAAGCAATATCAAAATGAAATGAATAGATAAAAAAAACACATAGACACAAGTTAAAATATAAAAGACATACACAATATTGTAAAAAAATTAAACAAACTAGACTAGTCTTTAGGTAACATTGAATATTCGTCATGTATTCGTTGAAACTAACTATAATTGACCCTTCCTTCCAAGTGAATTCTGACTGACCGATCTGTTGTCTGATTTTTCTGACTTGCGATGGTAGCCTATTATAGAACAGTTTTCCCATGGGTAAGAATGTATTTTTGGTCTCGGTGAGGTCGGATGAAGGGATCTGGAGGTCATGTATCTGGCGAGTTCTATAGGGGTGTATATCTGTGCGTCGTTCTGCCTCATTCCGGTGTTTATGCCAGTATTTAATGTTTTCAAAGATGCAAAGGTTGCAGACTGAATTTCCTATAATATCCTACCAACCCCAAAAATGATTTTATATCCTTAGGGTTTCTGGGTGGTTTAATGCCGTTTTCTGATATTATATGGCCTGCATTTTTACGCAAAGAATATCTCTATTATTTGCGTGAACATTCACACTTAGATGGTTTCAACTTCAAATTATGTTCTCGAAATTTCTGAAATACTTCAATTAATCATTCATTATGCTGATTCAAGTTATTTGCATAAATTACTACGTCGTCTAAATGAATGAAGCATTTTAAACCATTAAGCCCACTTAAAACTGCATTCATAAGTATTTGAAAGGTTGCGGGTGCTCCCTTAAGCCCAAATGGTTCTAATTCACTAATTGAATAGTTTTTTTCGCTATTTGAAAGACTTCTGCATATGTAGGCTATTGGATGTGCTTCTCCCTTGTCGTCTTCTTGTAAAAGTACTGCCCCAATTCCACATGTTGCTGCGTCGGTGTGCAAAATGGTATCTTTATTTGGATTGAAATGCTGTAGCATACAAAAAACTTGGTCTGGTAGTTCTTGGAAAGGGGCTGGAGCGTTGCATAATCCAAAACTTAAAACATTAAATTCGTAAGTCCCATGTCCTTGCGCCACGAAGGCAATGTATTGCTTGGACTTCTCTTCGACTAGAACTGGAACGCCAATATGCGGAAAACATATCGAGTGTGCTGAACCATTTTGCATTGCCCAAGTATGACAAAATGTCATCGATCTGCGGTAGTGGGTATGTTGATTTTTTTGTTACTGTGTTAACCTTTCTGTAATCTACACAAAATCTTGTTTTTCCATCTTTTTTCTTAACTAGCACTACAGGGCTAGCCCAAGGAGAGTGGCAAGGCCGAATTACTTCGCTATCGAGCATTTCCTGAATTTGTTCGTCAATAATCTGTCTTTCTTTTTGTGACACTCTGTATGGGCGGCTCTTTATTGGACGAGCCTCTCCGACGTCTATTATGTATTCTGTTAAGTTTGTCTTTCCCATATGTTTTGTAGATTTCGCGAAAACGTCGTTGTATTCCAGAAGGAGTTCTTCGAGTTCATGCCTATTCTTCTCCTTTGTGATGCTGTCTAACTTATGATCTTCCATTGTTATTTCTTCGCTCTCTTCATCTTTTTCTGCTTGCAACATGAAATTGTGTGAAAGATGTGTCTCTGATGCTGTTTCTGCCAAAAATGCCATTATGGTTCCGGTGTATATGCTACTGGGTTCCTTGTATTTGATTGTATCTACTTTTAAAATGAGGCTACCTTCAATGGTGTGAATGTGCGTTTTTTTTTTTTTAGTTCAAGATGATTTTTTGCTAACCAGTCTAAATTATATTTGCATGTAGGTATACATAGTCACTAGGTTTGCCCATAATATCTAATTCCAATGTTTTCAACTCATTCTGAGATACCGTGTAATCTTTTTTTGTACCCAATTTATATGTGTTTTTCTTAGTTTCTGTATCGATTTGCATCAGATGCCTGACTTCTTCTTCCTGCTTTTCTTCTTTAACTTTATACCCAGGTTTTTCTCTATAAATGTGAATTTGGACCCCTGCTGCCTGCATCTTCAAATAGAAAATATATCATCTGTTCAAATCTTGCCCATTCTTTTTCTAATCCCCATCCTTGTCTTGGGATGACTAATTTTTTGATGAATTTATTTTTGAGATATTGTTCCTCAGTGCTGTAAGACATTTATACATGTTTCTTGGACTTGGCTTCTCCTCCATTGATTCGCTTGTGAATAGAAAAATGACTGATTTTTTTCCTTGTTTTGACATAGATAGCTCCCCAATGGCCCCTTTCTCTCTGTTTTTTGGAATCATATGCCTATATTTTCTGAAAACTGATTTTTTTGATTTGTAGTTTTGGGTTACTCCTACTACTAAAACGGTGTCGTTCGTTAGGACGTCTATGTTTCCATATTCTTCTTTCAGGAGACCGTTAACCTGGTCATCTTTCAGTGGCGGCTCGTGGTGTCCAAGTAAGGGTGGGCGACAAAAATAAAAAAACAACTGTAGGCGATTTTTTTCTAAATTTTCAAGGTCGCGGCCTTTTCAAATATTGTATCACCCTTATGCCTTGTCCAGAGGAGCTTTCCCAACGAGAAGTACTTGCACAGGGGAGACTTAATTCCAGAGGGGCTTTCCCAACGAGAGATAGTTGCACTGGTTTAAGCCTGCCTGTTGCTTGGCTTGGTCAACTATTTATATCAATTTATTGCTGAATTGCAATAAACATCCGATCGAATCGGCAATTAAATTAATAAAGTTGAATACTGGGTCCTCCTTTCCTAAGCAGCTAGTTACAGTTTAAACAAGAGAGGTTCCAAAGTAGATCCCTGTACAACACCATGCTTTAATTCTTTGATCTGTGAATTGTGATCTAATATCGTGGCCGTTTTGATCTTTAGGTTCTACCACTTGCCTTCGTTCTTTCAGACAAGAAGAAAAGATTCAATCCATGCAGCTATTGTCCCACGAAATCCATAAGAAGCCAATTTTGATAATAATTTTTTTTTGATCGACACAATCGAACGCTTTTTCAAGATCCAGACCCACCATAACAATTATTTTATTTGTGTCTCTTCCTTCATAGTATGTATATGCGCCCCATGCATTTTCTGATGGCATCTGCTGTGCTTTTATTTTTCTGAAAGCCAAACTGATGTTTGTGTAAAATATGGTATTTTACTATGAATGTTAGCATCCTGTTTTTAATCATTGTTTCCATTATTTTTGAAACGGTTGACAACACAGAGATAGGTGTGAAGTTTGAGGGTTCATTGTTGTCACCGCCTTTGTGTATTGGAAAGATCCTTGATATCTTTATACTGCTTGGGAAAATACCATTTGTGAACGAATCATTTATGGCAGACACCATCAGGTCTTTACACTGCTCAGGAAGCCTTTTCATGAATTCTAAGTCTAATTCATCAATTCCGGTGGATTTTTTCTTTGGTAGTGTGTTCATGACTTCCATAATTTCTTCCTTTGTTGTCGGGGTTACATAAAATGTAGGGAATGTTCGAGAACTAACTTGGTATTTGTTTGGTACTGCTGGAAGGCTTTCTGTAATCTTGTCGGCAATATGGTTGTGAAATGGGTGTTTAGTTTTCCTGCGGCAGTTTTTGAGTCCTGGATAGTTTTATGGTTTAGTTTAGAGTGACCTAAGTCACAGTTTTTTCTTGTTGACGCGACCTCTGATCTCATTAACGGTTTTCCATGTTTCCCTTGTTGACGATCTTGCATGTATGATCCTATTAAGGTAATATAGACTTTTTGCCTTTTTGACAATTTGCTTAAATATATTCTTACACCTTTTATAGTAGGTACTCTTTCAGGTCGTCGTTGCTATTATAGAACTTGCAAAGAAAATTAAGGCATTTCGCTGAGATCTTGATCCCCTTTGTAATCCATATATTCTTCCCAGTGATACTCGTCGTTCTGGTTTTTGGTTTGTAGTTTGCGTTAAATGCCTCTAGTAGTATCTCATAGAACCTGTCAAATATGGGCTGCCCGCTTAGTTCAATACATTATTCCAATCTACACAATCTATATGCCTGCAAAAGGCTTCATAACTTCTTGTGTTGAATATTGGTCTAGTTATTGATGTTTTATCCTTAACATGAGTGTGGCTGCTAATTTTGCCGATGATAAATTCATGATAGAACAAGTTGGTTGGGTGTATCTGTACTGATAGCTCACCTCCAGGCAGATTTGTGCATCTATCATGGTGAACGATGACTTGGCTATCCTGGTTGCCGTTGTAAGGTGTTTTTTTATTCCACTTGCTTACAGACTATATTTAAGTTGTTCCTTAGAGTGGCTTTTTTCCAGGTAATTGATATTGAAATCGCCAACCAGGATTATTTTTGATTTTTTTGGCAGGCTGGTACACATTTCATAGAGGTTGGAACAAAACTGATTCACGTTGCCGCTGGGTGCTCTGTAGATATTTATTATGTACAAACTATCATCCACGATTTTTAAGCATGTGCTTTTCTATATTTAAACTTGCGATTTTTTTTTTATTTCAGCACTTCCTCCATGTGCACTATTTAGCCTAGTGTAGAGTGATATGGTTTTGTAATTTTGTATTGCCATTTTTCTCGCTTTCCGTTAAAACACGTACTATTTCTGGATGGCTTAGTTCGTGTAATAATTCTTCTATTTCACCAATTTTGCTTCGTATGGATTGGATATTCATAGATGAGATACTGATGTTCGCACCCTTGTGATCTGTATTTCCGCTATATTCAATGGGGTGCTTAAAAGTCATTTGGTAATGTTGGCCGAATTTCCAAGAGGTCGCTGGTGTTTATGCTTACTTCCGTATTGCATATGGGCGCATTGACTTCTGGTTAGAAAATGGAGATGTAGGTATCCTTGTTCGTACTAGTTTTCTCCGAGTGCTCTGTGTTGCATTTCGCCGTTAATCGTTGTTGTTTTGTTTTTGTCTGGTTCTTTTGCGAATAATATCCGTAAATATTTGTTTTTTTTTCCAGTGTACTCTCTGGACAACTCCTCTAGGCGGTGGAAACAAAACCCAATTCTTAGGTATCGACAATGGCATTGTAGGTGCACCAAGTGCCATAGCATTCGATTGGTTGGGCAGGAACATGTTTATTGCGAACAGAATTGCGAGCAACTTTGAAGTTGTGAGAGTCGATGGCAAAGTACGTCACCGAGCCATTATTCTTGCTAATGATGGTAATAAAACGTCAGTGGCTAATCCCAGAGCCATTTGCTTGGACCCGACTGAAGGAAAATTGTATTGGACTGATGCTGGTGGCAATGGAGTACCGCAAAAGATAGGAAAAGTTAATATGGATGGTTCTAATTCAGTTATCCTCGTGGAAGATGGTCTTGAACGTCCAGAAGCTATTGTCATTGACATCGAATCCAAAACGCTATATTTCAGCACACTAGGAAAACCTTTCATCCAGAGTATTAATACTAATGGAGGTGCGAGAACAACAATTTTGACTGAAGCGAATAATATTGCCAGTCCTAAAGCACTTAGTATTATGGGTAGCCGATTGTACTATATGGATCCTAGTTACGAAAAATTAGAGCAAGTTGCCTTGCCTTCTGGCAATAATCCGAGAATTCTTTTGGAAAATGAGCCTGACTTGAAGACATTTACAATTTTCAAGAAGAGGCCATTTGTAGATCATCCGTGCTTAATCAATAACGGCGGCTGCGAGCAAATTTGTATCCCTGCAGAAGGCAGATCTCGTAAATGTGTTTGTAGTATTGGTTATAAGGGTAGCGACATGCAATGCGACTCTTACAAAACATTTGCGGTTGTAACTCAACTGGATACTGCTAGAGGGTAAGCAAATTTAGCTTTAGAGGAAATAATAGATTTCATGCTTATGTATTTGCAGGTATAGCCTTAAAGATTCAGCAGAAGCCATGGTACCAATCACAGGCCTTGGACATCATATTTTACATGTCGATGTCCATTATGCGGAGAACTGGATTTATTGGGTGGAATTTAATAGAGGGTTCTGGAATGGTATTTTTAGAATCAGGCCAAATGGAACTGGTAATAAATTTTTGTTTGTTATTATAATACCTAATTATTCTAATTTATTTATTTTTTATCATAAGAACTGCAACACATTATCAAAGATGGAATCGGTAGTAATGGAATCAGAGGTCTTGCCATCGACTGGGTGGTTGGCAACATATACTTCACCAATGTCTTCCCCCATGAAAATTACCTGGAAATATGTAGATTAGATGGCTCAATGCGCAAAGTCCTTGTGAAAACAACCACCGATGCTCCACGAGAACTAGCAGTCAACCCGATCAAGAGAATTCTGTATTGGCTCGATTATGGTCAACATCCGAGAATTGGAAAAGTTAATTTGGATGGATCTGGATGGTCGCCTTTGGTAACATCCGGCATAAGCAATCCCAGAGATTTGACTGTCGATATGAATACTCACGATGTTTATTGGGTGGATGCCAGATTGGATATGATACAAAGGATTTCCTATAGCGGCGGTAGCAGACAAGTGATTAGACGTAATTTACCAAACCCAATGGGCATAGCGATCCACAAGAGCGACCTTTATTGGGTGGATCGCAATTTGCGAGCTGTATTCAAGGCTTCCAAATTCCCGGATAATACCAGCCTACCAACTAGAGTGCGCTCTAATTTAGATAAGCTCCGCGACATTGCCATTTTTGATATAACTAATCAACCTACAGATGATAGCAATCCTTGTAGAATCAATAACGGCGGATGTGAGCAATTATGTTTCACTTTCCCTAATACTTCTTTGCTTAAATGCGATTGTGCTACTGCTATTTCTGCCGATGGTCGCAGATGTCAAACTGTAGACGAATATTTAGTGTTCTCTACTCGTACTGAAATTAGAGCTATCAGTCTCGATCCACAAACTACCACTTTGCCTTTCTCTCCTATTGCTAACCTTACCAACGTTGTGGGTATAGATTTTGACTACAAACATCAAACTTTGCTGTTTACTCAAATCAGACCTTGGGCTAGGATTGCTAGCATGTCAGCTACTGCTCCTGATGGCAAAAATATTGTTAATATTAAAAACAAAGGTAAGAACTCTCTTTAATGTGTTATTTGTACCTACCAGCCCTAATAAATATACATTTTAGGAATAAATCCTGAAGGTATCGCTTATGATTGGACACAACAGAAAATATATTGGACTGATTCATCTAATAGAAGTATTTACTCGATGAATCTAGATGGATCTGAATTAGTCATGATTACTAGAGTTGAAAGACCAAGAGCTATTGTTATTGATCCTTGCAATGGTAACTTGCTAATTCATCTATTTACATTAATTTTTCAATAAATTATCTTTATAGGAACTCTATTCTACACTGATTGGGGTAAATTCGGTACTTCGGGCAAAATTTTGCGTACCACCATGGCTGGCTCACTAAAGAAAGTCATCATTGACAGAAACTTGGCTCAACCCAGCGGATTAGCTATCGATTATGACGAACACATGCTGTATTGGACTGATGCGGTCCGTGAGAAAATTGAAAGGAGTGATATGGAAGGCAAAAATCGGGAAGTTCTAGTTTCAGCTACGATTTATCCATTTTCAATCACAGTATTTGGGAATCATATTTATTGGACGGATTTGCAATTGAGAGGAGTTTATAGGGCCGAGAAGCATACCGGTGCTAATATGATTGATATGGTAAGAAAAATGCTTATTCTGCTTTTGGTTGCTTGTATTGGAGTTAAAAATCTCAATGTTACAATCTTCTAATATTGAAGCTTCAAAGTTTAACTTGGATTTTTACCAAGGAGAACGATCAGAAGCAAATTTTTGTTTTTATTCCTAAATTTCCATCCTTTCTTCATCCACTTGCAAAATTTCAATCCAATCCTTCAAACAATTTTCTCAAAAAAAAAAAAAACATCCGTGAATGTCGTTTTTTGAAAGCTTGATTTTTTCGAAAATGATATTGATACATATTTTGTCTCATTCTTATTCTATGGTCTCATTCATTACTTTGTTAATTTCATTTCGATCTCAAGGTAATTAGGCTTGAAACGAAGCTAATTAAATCCTTTACAATAATTTCCACTAAGTATTTCCAATGCAGCTTCAATAGTTTCACAGCTGCAAAGCTTTATAGCCTTTTGGCTTTGATTTTTATCAAGGTGAGCGTGTAAAAGCCAAATGTAATTTTTTTTTCTTTTTCGATGCTTCATTCTTTTTCGATGCAAAATTTCAATCAATCCTTCAGACAATTTACTCAAAAAAGATGGTAATAATATTGCACTTGTAATGACCACTAGTTATTTTATAGGTCTCAATCAAATCTCCACGCTGTCTTATTTGGTAGAGGGTTGTAAGATTAAGGCGCTGTAAACATTCTTGATAAGAGAGATCATTGAGCTCTGAAGGGATTTTAGTTACCTACCATTTGCTGAACTTTCTCTAAAAGATCTATATCTTTGACATAATAAGGACTCCATAAACTTTGCATATATTCTAGTCTTATGTATGTTTTGTAGAGCCTAAGTATCATATCACTAGAAAGGTTTTTAAACGACTTTTTTATAAGGTAAATCAAGGTGTTCACTTTTTTGACAGTTGTAGAGATGTGACACTCCCATTTGAGGTCTTTTATTACTATTAAGCCTAGATCTTTCTGTTTTTCGACTGGAGTCACCTCAGCTCAGTGTTTCCTATAGTGTACCTATGCTTGGGATTAGTTCTTCCTAAGTGAAGAACAGTGCACTGACATTCGTTTAATGGCATCTGCCATGTTATAGTCCATCGTTTAATTTCATCAAGATCGCTCTGCATTTGTAGGTATTGGTCACTTGCTCTGCACGTAGAATTTGTGTCGTCTGCAAAGGATGAGGTTTCACACAGGTCGTTTATGTATAATATAAACAGCAAAGTTGCAATTAATAAGCCCTGATGTGGTACTCTGCTATGCACCTCGCAACTACTGGAAAGAACATTGCCTATTTTTACTTGAAAGGTCCTTTCTTGGATAATTGCGCTGATAACTCTATGCACCAATGTGCATAGAGCAACCCGGTAGTCTACAGACGGAGAGTTATCCACGTTAGTTAGTTAGTAGTAATAGTGCCTTTTAGTCCTGTGATAATTATTAGTGCCCATGCCCATAACTGACATGTATTCGGGGTAAGCTCTATTTTGATACACTTTCCTATTTTTGTACTTGGCTGTAGTTTTGATTCTCGTCCCCACATAACCCCCAGGTCCATCATATGGCACCAATGTGCATAGAGCAGCCCATATTCCATTATGCTTCGATTTTAGCACGAGTCTCCTGAAAGGTGTAAGGCGCTTTTGTTGCGTAATGGACGCGAGTTTAGTGTTAGTCGGTCTATCTAACGCTTTGCCTCGGTGCCACCCTCAGAATTAAAGTGGTTGAGAGCCCACGTGCACCAGGTAGCTTGTTACAGTGGAGAAACGGTAATCCAGGGGTCACATACCCAATAAACATTTTTAGTTATATATTGGTAATTGTATATTTTACAACACTCACTTTAAATAACCTATAGTTCAATAATAATATGTGGGAAACATTTACATCACCCTTATAAAAACCTTAAAACACTTAAATGGCGGAGTTTATAAAGGTTACCGACACCTGTGTTAGTAATCTAATATAACTGTAAGATTTATAGAAGTATTTATTTAAATATTTCCAGAAACCTTATAAACCCTTTATAAAAATATTAATTGAATGATTTTGACACCTGAAGTAACAAGTTTCTCTTTGTCTTTGTCTATTCAATTATTTTTGGTATGTCTATGTTTGTTTGATTATGATGCCTCCAACGCCTCCGTCTCATGAAGGGATAAATAAATGCACAAGGACAAGAAGTCCTATGTTGCACCAATGGCTTCTGCTAGATGAGTACTTGTTTCACATTCACATTAAAAAAGTGTTGTTAAACCATTGATCCTGGTCCGAATTTTCATTGCCAAAGGATTTTTACTGATAAATTTAATATACATGTGATACCTTCAAAAAATGCGAGCGCCTTTTGAAGGAAACATATTTGATTGTATTGCCACAAATATAAAAATAAAATTTTGAAAAAATATTAATATTTAAGTGACAAGTTCTTGAGAAAAAAGTTGCTTATTTAATTATATGAGGTTCTTATATGCATATTTATCACAAATTGTTAGCTAAATGCCCTAAATTTGTGAATTTCACGTTGACCAGTGAAACAGCGTCCATTTTTTTTTTGCAAATCAAATATGGCAGAATGAAGACTAGTTTAATTTGAAAAATTAATCACCTTTATATTACCTAAAGGAACTTTACATAAATTATGGTACTCTATATAGCTTCTTTTGATTTTATAAAAGGTTCTTATAAAACTTTAAAGTTTATAATGGTAACAAAAAATACTCCAGGTACTATAACTTATAAGTTAGCAACCATCATTACACGTCGCGCATGCAGGTTTCCCAGTTTACCATGACGTATTTCGTCCAATCGCGTCACCCTACATAATTGGTCTTAAAGTGGTACGTGACAGCTTTATCCACATTTCTGAGTTCTGACCAATTATAATTCGTAAATGAGGGTTGAACGATTACGCAAAATATCCGCAGTGGAGCACTGGCATCAGCATAAAATGACAACAATAACCTCCCTTTTTTCAGTTGACTGCAGAGGTTTATTGTTTCTGTTTGGCTTGATGTGATATTTGGTAATACTGCTGGCCGCTGGTATTTATTTCACTCACCCAATTTGTTTATTATTATACCCCCTGTGAATTATATAAAGCATCCTTACATATCCAGAAGCAACAAAAATTTATGAAAGACTCGTCGATTACTTCTATTTTTATAAAGGCAGAAATTATCACCATTTTATAACTAGGGAATGTAAAGTTATATAAAAAGGTAACTGCAAAATGTATAAAACCTTATTATATACCTATTAGTAATAGTTACCCTAGGGTTTATAACTTGGTAATTGAAATATTTATGTCACCTAGTTATATACCTAGAGGTTGGGGGATATTATAAAACCCTTATATACTAAAAGCACTATTCATTCCTCTTATATACCCTTTATATAATTAGTCGTTACCATAAGTAACGAAAATTGTTTATTGGGTACGCTTGCTCTGTGAAATTTTCTGACGACCAACAGTCGATAAATTTAAATAAATATAACACTCTGTATTACCAGAAAATATTTATAGGAAAACGCTTAATTAACCCTGTGAAAGAATGAACGGGGATGCTTGAGAGAGAGATAATTAAATGAGTGAAATTATGTGCGTGCAGTGAAAAGCGTGTCCGGAAAAGTTAACGGTAGCCATAACGGAACGGTCAGCCTTCCGGTAGCTCTAAAAGTTCCGGTAACGTTAACGCTAACGGCAAATGTTAAATAGCAATAAAGCGGTAAAACAAACTCCGGTGACCCATGCAAATGTACCGACACTACCTGAAACTACATAAGTGTCAATTCTCGAATCCTGCATTTAACGGATTAGAGATAGAGAGAAATACCTGTCCCAGGTTCCAGGCGAAAATCTCTCATACAGAACTACCCGTCCCAGGTACCGGGCGAAGTTCTAAGAGCAATAGAGACTACCCGTCCAAGGTACCGGGCGAAACCCCTATTGCAGGAAAAGATTTATCCGTCCAAGGTACCGGGCGAAAATCTTAGTGAAGCTTATATAATTGATTTCTACCTTCTGCTAGTGTATTTCGCAACCCAGCAAGAACTGACCCCTACTAATTGTGGTTACGGCGGGTTGGCTTACCTCGGACAGTTCTGGTGGTGATGCTGCTTTCACTGCTGTCAGGTCGGCTGGCTTTTCGGAGACCGGTTGGAGACTGTCCTTTACAGCAAATTCTGCCTAATTCATAGCCGGAAAGATGGGTCAGGGACGCAGCGGGGTACACAGAAATATGCAAATTAGCTGATACCGGTTGAAACTCTGCTGGGATCGGTAGATTCCAGGCGAGGTCACGCGAAATCATGATAATGTATTTAATATTTAAGAATAATATAAAGAGAATTTTAACCAATACCGCTGTGAATATAGGAAATTAAGTCACGCAATTAAAAATTAAATTAAGTCAAAGCGGGAGTCGCACATATTTTATGAAAAATACTGAAACTTCTTTACAAAGGTACCTTATCAAAAGCTTTTTCAAAATCTATGTAAACAATGTCAAATGGTGTATTATCCATTCGAGTCCATTTGTTGAAAATTTCCAGCAGGTTGGTGAATGTCGATCTTCCTAGTTGGAACCTATGCTGAGAATCAGGTATTACTTGCTGTTCTAGTAAAAAAGATGTTAGCTCATTCACTAGGATTTTCTCCATGCATTTGCAGAGTACGCTGGTGGGACTTATTGGTCTGTGATTTGATGGTTCCAGTTTGTCCTCCTTTTCAAAGATTGGTACAACTATTGAGGATTTCCTTGTTTCTGGAATAGGAGCTCTTTTCATTATAGAGTTTAAAATAGTGGCTATAAGACTGGAGAGCGATTCGGAGCAGTTTTTCAGAAAGAGGGGTGGAATTTCATCAGGACCAGGACTAGACTCCGCCTTTAGAGAAGAAATGGCCATTTGTACTTTTTCTGGGGTGAATTCTATATTACTTATCTCTGCAACGATGCGAAGTTCAGGTGAAAGAGTTGGTAGGTTGTTATCTTCTTGAGTGAAGACTCTCTGGACTCGAACTGGTTTGCGAAGCAATTGGCAATTTCAGTCCCATTGTAAGTAGTCTGAGTCGTGTTAGCGTTTCTGAGCACAAAATTTTGGGGACGGGAGTTTAGGGAATGTTTTATATAGGAGTAAAATTTCTTAACAGGAGCTTGCAATAAATTCTGTTCATATTCTTGCCTAGCCTGGTTTAAGATCTGCTTTGTTATATTATTTTGTTGTTTGTAATGATCATAATCTGTGTTTGTTTTTGTCGTTTTATACTTATCTCAAAGTTTTCGTTTGATGTTGATTTGCTTGAAAACTTCCCAGTTAAGCCAAGGTTTCTTTGAATTGACATGCTGAGGTTTCAAGGGTACATATAGCTCAATAGTTTTCGTCACTAAACTTATTAGCTGTGTTGCATCAATTTGGCATGTGCAGGCATCTAACTGTTCAGCTATGTACTTGTACTTATTAATTTTATCATAATTTGCTCTCCAGAAATTTCTTTTATAGATCTTTTTAGTTGGCTTATAAGCCAGTTGAATCTGTGTTTTAGCTGTTATCACTAAATGATCACTACGCCCTATTGGTGGCTGTTGCTGTATATTGAATATTGAGCTTGTGTCATTAACCAGCAATAGATCTAGTAATGAAATTTCATTATTTCTGTATCTTGTAGGAAACGTTATTACCTGATGCGCGTTAGTGATTTGATAGCTGTTAAAGAAATCTTCTGAGCATTGATTGTGAGGGTGAACTGCATGTTTATCCCAGTTGATCTCTGTGTAATTGAAGTCTCCAAAAAGAAATGCTGGACTTTTTGACTCTAAGGCCTTTACTACTGTGGCGGCGGTAAATTCTTTGATTTGCTCTGGCGTTGTTGACGATTTGGGACTATATATGCAATCCGTTACAAAGGTAAAGGTACTGATTGTAATTTCCAACCAAACTGCTTCTATTGGGTGTTCTGTTTTGTACAAGGATCTTAATTTAACTTGCGTTTGGTGGCCTGCTACTGTATTTTTGACAAAAATGCAGATACCTCCTGTTTGGTTATGCTTGTCTGAGCGAAACAATGTGTAATCAGGAAGATGAACAAAACTATCAGGAAGATCTGGGCATAGCCATGACTCAGTTATTAATGCAATGGTTGGATTTATTTTGTTAATGCTAGCTTTAAATTCATCGACTTTTGGTACAATTGGATAACTATCTCACCTTCAGCTTTTCTGGTTTCTAACTCTGAGATTACTGTTTTTAGATAGGTACGTTGACTAGGAATGAGGTCATACTTGATATATGTGTCACTTTGCTCCAGTTTCCTTTTCAGTCTAAGCACCTACAGGGCTTCTTCCTTGGTTGGGAATGTGGATCTTATAGGTCTTTTCTTATTTGCTTCGTACGTTCAAATTCGAGTTGTTTTAACTTTTGCGGGTTCAGTTAACTCGTTTATTTTACATATTATGCTAGTGGCTTTTTCTAGATCAAAAGCTGATTTGTGTTCTGGCTCAGGTGAGTTTGACTGTTCCACTCCAAAGATAAGAATGTTCTGCGCTCTGTGTTCACGTTCTTGCATTTCTTGGATTGCTGGCTCGAGTTCAAGCTTGGTTGGAGAGGCATTTTGCTGCTGAAATTTGTCTTCCAGTTTCTGTACCTGATTTTTGAGATGATTTGTGTCTGAGACCATTTAAACTTATGTTGGGGAAGTGGGGGGGTTTGTCGACTCATTCATCATCTCCTTAAGACTCTTTAACTCTAATACTACCTCCTTTAGAAGAAAGATATGCCTGAGCATTCTTCACAAAAAAAATCCTGGCAGTAATCGCAAGGCGCTTTGAAAGTCTCTTTGCAGTTCTTGGATCGATCGAGGGTACCCATTTAGATGTTAGGTTTTGATTTTGTGTGTTTAACTTTTTGCTTGAACCAACTTTCACTTGCACTTCATGAGTTCTGGATAAATCTTTCAATCTTTCAATGCCTAAAGTACTTTGGGAATAATTTATTTCGATTTGGTTGTGAAAAACTGGAAATTAAAAATTGAATTGTGAACTGTAAACTGTAAACATAACCTGATGAAATGAAGCCAATTAAATCCTCTACAAACCCTTAGTAAATAATTTAAATTCAGCTTGAATAGCTTTTAGCTGTTCAAGTTTCAATGTTTTTGGACATTTCTTTACTTTGATTTTTACCGCAAGGTGAACAAGGTCTATGTAGTCGACCTAGGCAGTGTAGTGGCTAGTGTATCTGATTTACACGTGGAGGGTCCCGGGTTCAAATCCCGGCTAGGACATGGCGCTTAAGTGGCTTGTTAGCTTGGCGAGAGGATGTGGAAGGATTCTCCCAGGCTTGCATGATGTCGGTGGTGTCTGAATGGCCGACCATGGATTGCAAATCGGACCATCTTATGGTGGGGGATGCATGATAAGCCGACCATTTAGACTCTAGTATGAATGGGAAGGAGTAGAGTCCATGCCCATGATGTACAAAAAGCCACAATGAGCTTCAGTGCAGAGCATAGAGCATGGGCTCGAAAGAGTGAAAAAAAAGGTCTATGGAGTAAACCACCCCATCGAATTTGTGACAACAATTCCTGAAGCTTCCCGCAAATTCCTCCAAAGTCCCCAAAAATTCCTCCAAACTGTTCGCGAATTCCCTCAAATGTCTGTTACGTTACAAATTCCCTGAAAATCCCCAAAATTGTTCGTGATAAGAAATGTATTTTTTTTATTTTTATTATGTTCAGTATTAAAACCAATAAATTCCTCCAATTTATTACATAGGTATACACAACTGTAAAAATATGAAAAAATTTGTTATCAGTATTCGAAAGTGTACAAGCAAATTCCAATATCAAGATGAAAAATTGTTAGCTAGCTTTATTAACAGGGACATTTTTGCATAGGTGAAACGATTAGACGATAGTCCTCGTGATATCCAAGTGTACTCCACCAAACGTCAAGTATGCACTGTAAATCCTTGTCACATAAATAACGGAGGTTGCGCTCAAAGTTGCCATCCCGGACCTAACTTCAAGCCAGAATGTCGGTAAGTAGAATAAATCCTTATCAATTTCAAGCTAATAATATACTTACTTGTGGTAAATATTTAGTTGTGATGATAACACGAAATTGGTCAACGAAGGCAGAATGTGCGTAGCCAAGAACCTAACATGCGATTCTAGCAAATTCTATTGCCGCAACGGCAGATGCATCTCCAGAATGTGGGCCTGCGATGGTGAAGACGACTGCGGTGATAATTCTGATGAAGATACAAACTACTGCGCTTTCCATTCGTGCTCTCCGAACGAATTCAGATGCAATAACGGCCGGTGCATATTCAAATCCTGGAAGTGCGACCACGAAAACGATTGCAAAGATGGATCGGATGAAGAAAATTGCAATTATCCTCCTTGTGCGGACGGCGAGTTTACTTGTCTCAATCACAGATGTATTCCTATGGCTCAAGTATGCAATGGAGTCAATGATTGTAAGGATAATGTTACTTCGGATGAAACTCACGAGAGGTGTGGGCATAATACCACTTGTCCTCCTAAACATCTTAAATGCGAAAACACTAACATTTGCGTGGAACCTTATTGGTTATGCGATGGGGATAATGATTGTGGGGATAATTCCGATGAGAACCCATTGCACTGTGCCCAAAGAACTTGTCCACAAAACAGCTTTAGATGTTCCAATCATCGCTGTATCCCAGCTACTTGGTATTGTGATGGAGATGATGACTGTGGCGATGGTGCAGATGAGCCACCAGAGTATTGCAAAAGCGATGGAAGAACTTGCTTCGGCGATCTCTTCACTTGTGACAATGGAAATTGCGTGCCAAGAATCTACATTTGTGATGGAGATAATGATTGTTTGGATAATAGTGATGAGGATAGTCGGCATGAGTGCAGTAAGTGATTCTGATTTACATAAAAACATGTTTCGCTAATTTTTGTATTGTTAGATGACAGAAAATGCGATGAAGAAAATGAGTTTACATGTGAAGCTAACAAAGCCTGGGGCAGAGCCCAATGTATACCGAAAAAATGGCTTTGTGATGGTGATCCAGATTGTATCGATGGAGCTGATGAAAATACTACTCTTCATCATTGTGCCGCTCCGCAGACTTGCACTGAGGAACAATTTACTTGTGGAAATGGCAGATGTATTAATAAAGTAAGTGCCATATAGATTATAATTTGGTGCTTTACTCAGTAAGGAATTTTTAGGGTTGGCTTTGTGACCATGATAATGATTGTGGAGATGGTACGGATGAAGGCAAAGAATGCAATTCCCAATACAAAACTTGCGGCAACAACGAGTTCACTTGTCAAAACTTCAAATGTATCAGAAATCAGTACCGTTGCGATGGAGAGGACGATTGTGGTGATCATTCGGACGAAGTTAATTGCAGTAAGTATTTTTCATCTCTTCATATCAACAGTTAGAAGTTACTAATAAACTTTTGTTTTCCAGAAAAGGACAACACAACTTGTCCAATTGCTACACAATTCCGTTGCAACAGTGGCCAGTGCATCGAGGGTCATCTCGTTTGCAACAAAGTGGCAGATTGTGCCGACGAATCTGACGAACCATTGCATTGTAATGTTGATGAATGTGCCAAAGTGGAAATTCATCAGTGCGGTCACAAATGCGTCGACACACTTACTGGCTACTATTGCGAATGTAATCAAGGATACAAGTAAGCAACGATACCTATATATTTAGACAATGGTTGTTACAGCTTCAATTTATAAGAGCTTTAGCTGCTAACTAATTAAAATTACACTGTAGCAAAACGCACCCAAGTACACGTGCGGCCATAAATCACCTATTTAATTACTTTGGCCTCGCTTTTAATATTTTTATGAATTTAATTTAGATGATGACTAAATAATAAGAAATTAAACGTTTTTTAGATATTTTAATTTCAGTAAAGACATTGTAAATTACGTGTCTATTTACCGGGTCATTACATCCCTCCGCCCTTAAAACCGAAATTATATTGAATGAGATAATTTTTATTCAATGTCTCATTAAAATATAGAATTTCACCCTAAAATTAAGGTGCTTTGTAGCATATTGTGGTTCGGTCGGTGAACCTTCTGTGATTTATGGTTTACGTTTCTCAATTTTAAAAATTTGTCGATAATATTATCCGAGTATTTATCAGTTCGTTCAACCTAATAATGTGTCAGCTTTTCCTATCCTAACTTTTCATTTCTTAAAAATATCTGTTATATTTTTATTTCACATAAGACAAAAGTAATACGAAATTAAACTTTTCACGTGTAATTTCGCAACTTCATTTACAATAATAACTATTAAAGATTAATTATGAATCTTTACTCAATACTAGATTTTATCCTGGCATCAAAATTTTTGTTAATTTTCTTCATTAATACAATTTTTATTTAATATTTTCCTTCAAATTGTTAATGCTAGAACGACACAAAATAAATTTCAATCTTACAAAGTAATTACCCTTATTTATAGCAAAGTTTACTTGAAGCGCTGGTTGCTCGTTAGGCCTATATTGAGTGAGCCTATATTGCGGCCTTCCACTACGACTCATTGGTTGGTTGCCTGTAGTTTTGCTGTCAATCTCACAGTAGTAGGTATCGTAGCAACAGATTTGGTTGTAAGACTATGAGCACAACTCAAAGAAAACCAAAAACACGTGCGGCCATAAATCACCTATTTAATTACTTTGGCCTCGCTTTTAATATTTTTATGAATTTGATTTAGATGATGACTAAATAATAAGAAATTAAACGTTTTTTAGATATTTTAATTAATTTGGGTCAATTTTTATTGGTTTCATTTTCAATTTATTGATACTGATGTTAATTATTAGAGATTCAGTTTTTGAATATTTGATTAGGTACATTTAATTTTCATAGTAAAGACATTGTAAATTACGGGTCTATTTTCCCGGTTCATTACAACACCTTTGAAAAATGAATATTTGTCGTTAACTATTTTGTCATTATACCTAATCTGATTCTTCCAGGCTTCTCCAAGACGAAAAAGCGTGCGCAGACATTGACGAATGCATAGAAACTCCAGGAGTATGTTCGCAATATTGCTCCAACACCCCTGGCAGTTACTATTGCAAATGCAACGAGCAATTCTACGAAAGAGAACCCGACGAGCACACTTGCAAACGAAAAGATAAAATCGAACCATGGGTGGTGTTCACCAACAAGTACTACATCAGGAATATGTCGATCGATGCCAAAGTTTATAATCTCGTACATCAAGACCTGATGAACGTGGTTGCTTTGGACTTTGACTATCAAGATCAAAAAATGTATTTCTGCGACGTCACAGCTAAAACCATATTTAGAACTCCAATTGGTGGCAATGAACGAGAATCTGTTGTGAGGCATGATTCTCATGGTTTGGAAGGAATTTCTATTGATTGGATTGGAAGAAAACTTTATTGGTAAGTATCAGATACTTTTTTGGGGACCTCATTCATGAATTATTTATTTTTGTTTAGGTTGGACCGACACTCTAAGAACCTTGACGTAGCCGAACTAAATGGTACCAACAGAAAAACAATAAAAACAAGCATTGCAGATCCAAGAGCTTTGGTTGTCCATCCAGGTACCGGATATTTGTATTTTACTTCCTGGCATTTGCAAGCTTACATAGGAAAATTGGGCATGGACGGCACTAATTTCACTAGGATTTTAACCTGGAACGACGATATCGCTTGGCCTAATGCTCTTACCATTGATTTCTTCACGGATAGACTATATTTTGCTGATGCCCATTTGGATTATATTGCCTTCACTGATTTAGAAGGACGTCACAGGCATATAGTTTTATCTGGCAATGCTGTTCCTCATGTGTTTGCCATCACCTTGTTTGACGACAACCTTTATTGGACTGATTGGAACCTGAAAGCAATCTCAAGAGCCAATAAATTCACAGGGCAAGATCTTCAAGTTTTAAGAAACACTACTCATAAGCCTTATGATATTCATATAATGCATCCATTAAGGCAATTGCCTTATCCTAACCCTTGTGGTACCAATAATGGAGGCTGTTCGCATTTGTGCCTGATTTCACCACCTCCTGCATCCAGCTATTTAAATATTGAAGGTTACGGAGAAGAAGGAATGACTGGATTTACTTGCGCCTGTCCAAATCAATTTTATTTAAGTCCCGATCATAAAACTTGCATTGCCAATTGCACAGAGGGACAATGGCTTTGCAAGGGTAACGATGAAAAATGTATTCCATGGTTCTGGAAGTGAGTATTTCAATAATTGAGAGTATTTGCTTCAATAAATATATTATAAATAATTTAGGTGCGACGGTGAAAAGGACTGCAAAGATGGTTCTGATGAACCAGACACTTGCCCACCAAGACAGTGTCGCAATGGAACCTTCCAATGTAAAAATAATAATTGCACACCATCAGCCACTATTTGTGATGGAACTGACGATTGTGGTGATAATTCTGATGAAGCCAATTGCGACAAAGAGTGTCCAGAACTTGAAATGAAGTGCAAGTAAGTGTAACCTAGAGTTTTTGCAAGTCAGTTTGCTGATTATCCTTTTATAGATCAAACGGCAGATGTATCCTCAACAGTTGGAAGTGCGATGGGGACGCTGATTGTAAAGACGGCTCAGACGAAGACCCGGCCATTTGCCATAACAGAAAGTGCGACGAAGAAACTGAATTTGCTTGCAAAAACGGCAAATGCATCCCGAAATTGTGGATGTGCGACTTTGATAATGATTGCGGCGATGATTCTGACGAACCGGCCTACATGTGCAGACAAAGAAATTGTACCACCGGTTGGCAGAGGTGTCCCGGAAGGACCAATTACAGGTGTATTCCGAAATGGCTCTTCTGTGACGGGAAAGATGATTGTCGAGACAACAGTGACGAGTTACCTGAAAATTGTCCAGATTGTAATGCTCAAACGGACTTTAAATGCAAAAACAACCGTTGCGTACCCAAACAGTGGACGTGCGACTTTTCAGATGACTGTGGCGATGGTAGTGATGAAGTTGACGATATGTGCAAAGGAGTTTTTAGGTAAGAATTTTTTTATCTATTTCTTCATTAGCTGATGCACGTCCACTATATCTAGGGACTTCAGACATTCGTTTTTGCCTTTCTTGGTCTCTGCTTCACTAGAACCTTTCTCAGTTCTTGATTATGATGGCTTCTATTTCTAGTTTTTCTAATAATATGAGACCCCAAATTCAGAAACTTGGCAAGATGTTAAATTGGCGAGCGGTGATTTTAGTTTCTGAGTGAAGACACAGTTTAAAGTGGGTCCTATTTGCGGGTGAAGAGAGTTAAACACAGAAATATTGTGGTCAATTAAAATAAAGTTTATTTTATTAAAATAAATAAAGCTTGTTAGCAAATAAAAGGCGTCGGTAATAAATATTCTTACAATAAAATTTTTAGATTTTTAATAAGCATCAATTAACTGTTAAGGAAAATTTATATGACTCCAAGTACAAATTTTTATTTACAGTTTGACTCGATTCACACTCTTGCCTTCACAATTTCTGGCTGAACATAAAAAAACTCTACTTACATTTAAGAATAATATATTCACTGCTGGCCACACCTAATTACATGGAAATCTTATTGGTCGAAGGAATTTACTTTAATTATGAACACTTAATAAAAAACTCGATTATTTTCTCGCTGTTATTTCACGTCGTGCTTCTTCTCTCGGCTAATTCGACAACTCTTTCACGCCGTAGTTCTGACTTTCTAGACACAGGTTTCTCGATTCTCGATTACTACTTGTTTCTTGATTACTTAACTGACACTGGTCCTTCACGCCGTAGTTCTGCCGGTTTACTTTTACTCGATCTTTCTCGAACACTGGTTTTCTCGAACACTCTTTTCTTGAACACTGGTTTTCTCCTGCCAAAGTTGCCTTTTTATATCATTGGTCTCTCCATTGTCTTGATATTCTTTATTGTTTCTGACCTCAATTTTTCATTGTTGAATCATCCGATCAATTAGTGTATTTGGTCCCCTTCTAATTAGTTATCAAGGGCGTCGCTAAGTGGTTTGTTAAGTGGGTATCATCATATAGGCTCGTGCATGATTTATTGATCCTTTTAGAAATTTTTCGGCTCCCTTGGAATGTTAATTGTTGAAAGCACTTAAAAAAAAGGTTCAAGAACTTTTGCATTATTCACATTCCAATGTATTAGTCAATAGGTATAGAGTATCGGCTTTCAATAATTTCTGGATATCGATGTTCAGATAATTTTAAATTGAAGTTTCTGGTTGTGAGGTCTAAGTGATGATCTCTCCTGGGATGGTTTTTTGGTAAGTCCTTGTTATTCTTGATTGAAATTTCTGTAGTCACTACACTATGTTCAAAATTGATTTTCGTAATCCATTGATTAGTTGTACAGTTTTCAATACAAAATTTCTACAGGTTAGGATAGGATAGAAGCTATATCTATCTTTTGCTGACAACTTCTCCTTGGTCATTCTTCATTTTGTGTATGACCAGCACAACTCATTGTATTGAAGATGTTTTAGTTATTTCTGATGACTTCTTCCATTATTCCCATATACCTACTTTGTGCTCTTCCATCTCTCCGGAGGCCTTCATTGTTGTTATCCTTTTGTATAATGATTTGCATGTGCTTCTTTGTTCCTGTTTCTAGACAGAATGTAAATTTTTCTCGTCTTTGTACCTACACAAAATTTCTTTACGGCAGCTCGAACATTGTTCGTAAATTATAATTTTGGTCAAGGATTCACAATAATTCTATTTTCTGCAACTTCTTAATTGTCTGTATTCCGGTGGAATTTGTAGTGTATTTCTGAGGAACTGAAGAAAACACGCTGTGTAACTTCTAGGATATATTTTGGTTGCACACCACACGGTCTTTCTCCTCTTTTTATCCCGTGCAAATGAGAAGAATGGATTGCTGAGCGGTCTGTGTCTTTTTTTATCTAATGAAGTTTTCGTATTATTATCTCTTTGTCTGGTAAAATGGATAGGTCTATTACCCTCAAACAATTCCAAAAAAACCATCTCATCCTCGTCGCCAAATGTAGTGTATTTCTGAGGAACTGAAGAAAACACGCCGGGTAACTTCTAGGATATATTAACTACAGTATGAGGATAATTACTTGTGGGTACTCGTGATTAGGACACGTTAATGTACACTCTACTTTTAAACTATACCTGACTATTATTTGGGTTGCCTCCTATGTGGTTGCCAACCAATAACCTTTCAATCATGTAGACAGTGGCATACATAACAGAACTCTAGCTTAGATTCTCTTTTTCACTAGATACCTTTTTTTAACTCTACTATTGATGTGAATATCAACTCTGATCAATCTGTGTCGAATCGTTTCGGTAGCGACATGTTGGCCTCTGTGTATTTACCCCATATCAAATAATCTGTAATTTTTCCAGACAATGTTCCGAATCAGAATTCCAATGTTCCAACGGCAAATGTATCTCGTCAAGATGGAGATGCGACCACGAAGACGACTGCGGAGATAATTCCGATGAAATCGGCTGCAGCGGCTTCCAATGCAAAAACGGAACGTTCCAATGCGCCAGCGGACATTGCATTGCATCCTACTTCAGATGCGACGGCGACCGGGACTGCAGGGACATGTCCGACGAGAAAAATTGTCCACCCAAATATCCTGGTGGACGTTATTGTCCAGAAAACAGGTTCCAATGCGACAATCATTTGTGCATTAGTCAGGCGGACTTGTGCGATGGTGCCGATGACTGTGGAGATAATTCCGATGAAGCGCCTTCGTTGTGTACCAACTTTAATTGCGATAGCTTGAAGAGGTTCCAGTGTAATAACCACAAGTGTATTCCTAGGTAAGGAAAAAACTATCTTGTTTAAGCAATATATAACCCAAATTTTTCCTCTAGATATCAACTTTGTGATGGTATAGACAACTGCGGCGATGGTTCCGACGAAAACAACATGACCCTCTGCGGTAAAAAAGTGAAACCTTGCAACGCCTTCACAGAATTCAAATGTGCAAACGACAAATGTATCGAGAAGAAGCAAATTTGCGATTTCGCTGACGATTGTGGTGATAGTTCTGACGAATTGGGTTGTCATCACAATAACGTTTGCAGCGATTTGACTAGAGGTGGTTGCGAGCACACTTGTACCAACCTTACAGGAGGCGGATATATTTGCTCGTGCTTCAGTGGTTTTATTATATCAAAAGATAACAGAAAAGTTTGCTTGGATGTGGATGAGTGCGCCACTGGACAACATCATTGCTCTCAAGTGTGTACCAACCTCAATGGAACTTATGCTTGCTCCTGCAAAGACGGATTTAGCTTATCTGATCAATTGTCAGGAGTGTGTAGAGCAAACGTAGAAAATTCTGAGCTACTTTTCGCCAACGGTCCAGAAATTAGAGCCTTAGATTTGAGACTGAAAGACGAAAAAGGAATTATTACTGAAGAAAAACGAATTGAAGCTGTCGATTATGATCCTGTTGCTCATATGATATTTTGGGCTGATTCTTATGATAAAACTATAAAGAGGAGCTATTTGCCTTTGGCACTCAATGGAGATGTTAAGACTGGATTTGCACAGGATTTGGAAATGAAAGGAAGCTCCAAACCTACTGCGATAGCTGTCGATTGGGTTGCTGGTAATTTATACTGGGCGGAAACTGATAGGGCTGGATCCAAACCAAAAGGTAAAAAATACTCAATGCCTTCTATTAAAATTTTTAATCAATAATCTTTCCTAGGTCGCATTATGGTGGCCAAAACGGATGGACGTTATCGCAGAGCTTTAGTTAATGCAGGCCTAGAAAATCCAACATCTTTAGTCTTAGACCCACAGCTTGGACGTATGTTCTGGACCGATTCTGGTTCGGCTCCCAAAATTGAAGTGTCCTGGATGGACGGTTCTAAACGTCGTCCACTGATAACAGATGAAATTCGTCATCCTACTGGATTAGCCATTGACTATGCCATGGGTCATACCTTATATTGGGTAGACACTAAATTGAATACAATAGAAACTATGAGACCTGATGGTACAATGCGAAAAGTTCTAATTAAAGGCGACATGTTGAAACATCCAATATCTTTGGATGTATTTGAGAATTATTTGTATTGGATCACTAAGGATACTGGGGAAGTGGTTAAGCAGGATAAATTTGCAAGAGGCGTACCTGTGACTGTGCAAAGAGATCTTTTAAATCCATCCAGCATTAAAGGTATGTACTTAAGCTATTTGTCTTAAGAGGAATTAATTTATGTTTCTTTTTATACAGTATTGCACGAATTAAGATACAATACCTCGTTGCCCAATGCCTGCAGAAATAACCAATGTTCACATTTATGTTTGATTGTGCCCAACGGGCACAGATGCTCTTGTCCTGATTCTTCTGTAATGCCATCTCACAAAACCAAAGCAGAAATCATTTGTGATGCTCCTATAGGTAAATATCTATTTAGGTAATTTTTTTAATTCTATATAATTTCTTTTAGAATCGGAAAGAGCTCTCCCCAGAGTATGCCAGTGTCAAAACGGTGGTCTTTGTAGGGAAGATGTTAATGGCGAGCTCTTATGCGAGTGTTTGCCCAATTACCAAGGCCAGTACTGTGACTATTTGACAGCTCATGGCAGTAGTACCGGTGGAAATACTGCCACAGCTGTTGTGGTTCCTATTGTGGTCATTTTGCTTATTTTGGGGGCTGCCACTGGTGTATGGTTCTTTATTAGGAAGAGACCATTGTAAGTTAACAATGAATTATTCAATTAATTTGTTTTTAATGAATTTTATTTTTAGCGGAAAAGGTGTAGGTTTAGGTTCCATAGCCAGTAGTCATAGTGTTTCATTCAGACAAGGAACCAACGTTGAATTTGGCTCGCAAAGTTTCAATGGTTCATCTGGGGCTCCGGAACCTTTGGATGTTGCTTACCATCTGGATCCAGTCAATAGCAAAAATAGAGACTTCCATAATCCTATGTATGATGCTGTACAAAATAATCCTGAGATGGTTGGCAATGGTAGTACAGGTAATATTTATTTTATCTTCTTAGTTTTTACTTACATAGAGAAATGTTTTCATAAGTAATTCTAAATATCTGACAGATTATAGCCATACATTAAGTTCAAAGATTTTAATTAAATTAATTATTATAGCTCTCTACGAAGTACCTCCTGACGTTCCAAAAGTTAAGTCTGATAGTTTTACAGAACCTCCAAGTGCTGTAATAGCTCCATCTAGTATTACGCACAGGTGAGAAATGTCTTGTTAAAATCTTACCCCAATACTTATAAATAATATTCTAGAACGTCTCCACAAGTCCAAGTTAGACACAAAGAAACCAATCCAGCCAACCACGACACTGGCAAAGATACTCAAAAATTAGTCGAGGAGGACTGCTGATACACGGTGTCCCTCAAACGCCGTTAATATCTTAAAATATTTATTTTTTTAATTTTATTGGAGAGGACGCAAAATGGATCTGAAATCATCGAAAAACTAGCGTCCCGAAGAAGAGACCATCTGTGATTTTTATAAGTAAAGTGTATTATCAAAAAACCTGAACATTCCATAATTTTATCCAATATTTGTATAGTGATTAGTGAAGATTCCATATTATATTTTTGTATTGAAGCAAATAGAGAGCCTGTTCAAAAATTAATATAAAAGGGTATGTTCATAGTGCCATTTTTCGCAAAACAGGTTTTCGAAGAAAAAAAGTAATTATAAAAGGGGATCTTTTAGAATTTTCTGTAAATATAATTAAATATTATTTATAGCGCATGTTGAAATTGCCACTCCCCACTTACTTTTTAAGACGACTTTGATTTCCAAGCTCTACATAGAGGCAGTTTGTTCTAACTCTAATATACATATAAACTAAATACCCGTCCAAAAGCTGTAGTGTTGTATTAAAAATACTTTATTTTTCTGAAACTACATAATATGCATTGTTTGAAAATTTTATATATTTTTAAATTTTATCAACTTGTTATTTAATTCTTATAGGTTTATTAGTCATATCACTATATGAAGAGTTTACAATAATAATTTTGTTTGTTGATGCAGTTTTTGTCAAATATTGGGACAAATTTTGTACTGTTAACGGACCTTTTACAATCGATTTTTCTTCAATATAATGATTGTACTTAAATTGACAGCAATGAGAAACGTTTTTGAAAGGTTCGATGATGATAATGTTTGATTTCGTTGCAAATACGTTTTTTTGATATTTGTACATATTTCTTGGGAACAAAACTGTAGTTTTAATTATAATATAAAGTGGTTGTTTTAAAAATTTGTGTTTTATTTTACGAAAAATGGAAATTGCTACCTTTTAGTAGAACTCCATCAATCAAGATAGAGGCTCTGATGATCGAAGCTTACTTTTGTTGTTAACACTTTTCTTACAAAGTTGATTTTCTTGGTGATGGAGAATCCTTCGCATTGGACTAGTTAATTAGATCAATTTTTCAGAAGATTCAATTTGTTGCTTGACCGAAAGATTTCCTAAGTTAACAATTTCAAATGCATCTAAGGCAGTTTACCAAAATCCGCCATAAAGATGAAAACAATGAAATTGTAATGACTCACAAAAAGACGAGCTCGGTTACTTAGAAAATTATTTTATTAACTAAATCTCTTCAACGTTTCACCTTGAGACAAATTATAATTTGATTTATAAAAAGGAATGTCCATGTCGTTTAACAACAGTTGAACAGTAGTAGTATAGTTACAGAGTACAGTAAGAAGTCACTAAGTCAAGCAATACAGAACGGTCCGAAGTTTGAGTTCAAATAAGTCCGTTTTTGAAAATGTAGTAAAGCAGTAAATTTCGGTGTCACTCTAAACAAAGTTACGATAATAGGAAATTCTTGAATCGGAGTAAGAAAATTCTTAAATCGTGAAAACCAGTGAAGTAGTTATCAGAAATCGAACATTTAAATTCGGGATCGGTAGTAAAATAAATAACGTGTAACAACGATAAGTAACGACACCCCTATAGGAAGAGAATTGAACATTGTATACTAAGGTAAATACTTTTGTGGATTTAACTTGTGAACTTAAATTGTGGACTTAGATAATTGTGCACTTTAAAGATTTGATTTATAACTTTATCCATTGACTCTTAGTAATATGCATCCACTGCTCGAATTATTTTTATGCTAGTAAATCGTATAAACTTTTAAAGAGTAACAAATACTTAGCGATTGATTATAAATAAGGGACTTGAAATGTTTTTGAAATTGATTTTTTTATTTTAAAGCAAAGCTTTTTAAAGGACTTGATGAAATGTTACTAATTTAAGAGATAAGCTCTTAAGTCTTGAAGTAAAGAACTAAAGAAGTTTGTTTACCTGATTATATAAATAAAGAAATATTAACCCTTTGAAATTCAGAGGATTTGTGTACTTATTTCCACCCCTAGGAATTACGAACCCTACCACTGTAGCCACTCTGGTAAAAATCTGTAATAAATTGGAAACCGCTCGCCAACAATCAACATCTTAAACAGTGATACCAAGGCGGGCGCTACAAATGGTGTCAGGTGTGGGGTTTGATTAAATTGCACGGTAGGTACACACAATAGAAGGATGTTTACATGATTAGTGCATGAAATGAAAATATAAGAATTGCTTAAAGCAGGGCATGGATGATCTTGAAGTAACAAATCCGCTATACAACATGACAAATATTGCAATAGGATTAGAATCTATACCTACGTACGATGGGAGTAGTAGGGTAGAAGATTTTTTTATCCATTATCGAAGAAACCAGCACCTTATTAGCCGAATGGACCGACCAACAAAAAGTTTCCGTAGTTAGACTAAAATTACGCTATAAAGCCAAACAATTTATTGAATCAGAGCCAACTCTAAAAACAACCACTAGCTGGACCACACTCAAGGAAGGATTGAAGAAGCAATTTGTGCCGTATAATGTACAAGGAATTGCAATAAGAGAATTTATAGAATGCAGACAACGCAATTGGAGAGACATGTCGACAATTTCTGATAAGGCTGATAAGTTAATTAGAAACAGAACGGTAACATTAACTGGAACTGCAGCAACAGATAAAATACTCACTGATAAATTAGACGAAGATATTATGACTCAATTCACCTTAGGACTTCGAATGCCAATAAAACAAAGAGTGCTGTCTGGAAGTCCGCAAACTTTGATAGACGCGTTAAAACTCGCCGAAAAAGGGGGAAGCAATCGAGAATTTACTACACCCTTCAAACAGAGAGTGCCGAGGAGTAAAGTCAGCCTATGAGGGCTCGCGTTGAACCAACCCCTAACCAAAGGAATACAAGGAGTCAACCAAAGCAAATTATATGTTTTAACTGCAACAAACCGGGGGACACATGAGAAACGCTTGTAGAAACCAAAGACCTGGTCGAAATGAATGGCTCAATAACTCTAATGGATTGAAATGCTACAGATGCCATCAAGGTGGCCATTTTGCAAAGGATTGTCAAGTGAATACGTTTCGTAAATCGCAGAAAGAAATTGTATGCTACAAGTTCAATAGAGAAGGGCATATAACAAGGGACTGCCGACAAATGGATCGTCGTCCGTTAAACTGCAATGCGGCCAGTTTCCAACCCCGAGACTTGGCTGTCGAAGAGGCGAGTTGGGAATAAGTAGACATGATAGGTTAGGGATATTTACATGCTCTAAGAACGGAACCCCAGAGTACTGTAACGTAGTAAGCGTTAGGGTTAATGATAAGTCATACCTAGACTTAATAGATTCTGGAGCTGTTGTATCCCTAGTTAAACCCGAGATTGCCCAGGGGTTCAAGAAAGAGAAGTGCGACGTAAATTTATTAGATATTCAGGACAATAAGATACCTGTACGAGGAATGGCAACATTACCAATAATGTTTGAAGGAGACATAGAAGTACATCATGAATTTATCGTAGTTGATACAGATACGTTGAGAGCAGATTTATTGCTAGGAATTGATTTTCTTCGTCGATACGGAATTAAAGTGGATTGGCAAAATAATTGCATGTTTGCATTTGAAAGAGAAATTCCGTTATACGAAGAAAATAGAAATAATTATTTTGTTCAGAAAGTAGAAAAAGAGTTAAATATGAAAGTAAGGAACTTAGAGAAGGAATTAAGAGAACTTAAGAGTTATGTGAGAGAATTGGAAGGAAATGGAAACAGGATTCAAAAGGTTGATAAATTTGAAACTGACTTGAAGGAAATAATGTGTTACATTAAAGATACAGCAAAGAAGAATTGCAAAGAATGCAGCGACTGCAAGGTTAAATCCGAAGGGGAGGAAAATGGTCTGAAAATAGAAAAGAGAATAGAACATTTAGACGCAGAGAGAGAAAGGAAAGAAACGATGACGAGTATAACAGATTCCATGATTCAAGATCTTTCGTTAGTATCAGTAACGGAATAAGGTCGTAGTTTAGCAGCGACTAATACTCGCTCAACAACTACCCCCAACCAACAACTTGGAAAATCAGAGGACAGACCTCTAACATCATCACGGAAGCCGGCCGGTTCCCAAAAGCCCCTCACCTCTAATACAGAAAAATGAGAAAAGTAGAGAAAGTCTAAAAGAAAGTTCAGTTAAGAATATAGAAGTTTTTAAGGAAAATGAAGTTTTTGGTGAACCAAACAACGAATATGTGGATTTAAATAAAGATAAGGAAGTCGTTGAAAGGGAAGGTGTAAGAAAAGAGAAAAACTATCTGGTAGTATTGAGAGAGGAATTAACGATTCCGCCGATGAGTGAAGTAGTGTGTCAAGCAACGTTACGCGGAGCAAAACAAGTTAAGGCTAAACACTTAGTCCTAGAACCAAGTGGCGATGCACCGTTTGGATTGCTGGCGGCGCACGTGTTATGTAAACGAAATAATACAGTTCCTGTTAGATTAATGAACATAACTAAGGAGCAATTGATTCTAAGAAGTAGGACAATAATTGCTAAAGCATGCGAAGCTGAATAGTAGAAGAAAGAAATGACTCGAAAACTCTTTCAATTAGAATCATTGATAGAAAAGGCGTAAATGAGATTTTAGAAAAATTACAGTTAGAAAATCCACAGACAAAAGACGAAGAAAGCCTTCAACAATTAGTGATCGATTTTATAGACATTTTTAGGACTCCATAACAAAAACTTAGTTGTACCACGAATGTTGTACATAGGATTATCACCGAGGAAGTACAGCCAATTATAAAAAGACCGTATAGAGTACCATATCACAGACAAGCCATCATGAAGGAAGAAATACAAAAATTACTTGATGACGGAATAATCGTAGAAAGTCAATCACCATGGAGTTTTCCGGCTATTCTTATAGAAAAGAAGAAACACCCAGGAGGAGACGTACAGTACAGACTTGTTATAGATTACAGAGAATTGAATTCCATCACAAAGACCGATTATTTTCCGTTGCCAAATATTCCAGAAACCATAGATAGACCAGGTTCTCGACTGTTTTCCACAATGGATTTGGCATCTGGTTATTTTCAAGTACCACTGCATCCAGATTACCAAGAGAAAACTACTTTTTCAACGCCTGATAACCACTATCACTTCTTACGTATGGCTATGGGACTCAAGAACCCACCTGCTTCCTGGAGGCGCATGATGAATCATATATTGGGAAAACTAACATAATATACAGAATGTCTGGTATACCTAGATGACATTATAGTATTGTCTAAGGATGCTGATATACATTTAGAACGATTAAGGCATGTGTTTGAAAAGTTGAGGGAAAGCAATTTAAAATTAAAGCCAACAAAATGTCGCTTCATGAAGAAAGAGATAGAGTATCTAGGACATCTTATTTGCGAGGGTGGATATACGACCCACCCCGATAAAACCAAAATAATCGAAGGGGATATCGTACTATATATAAGAAATGTTAAAGAGATTGGAACATTTCTGAGATTTTGTTGGGAGACAAATTATAATTTAATTTATTGCGGGCGGTTTCTTTTAAGACAAAGTAACATGTACATATTTGTACCGGGATTTTTAAGTGATTTAAAACGGATTCTAATTTTTTATAGCGGAATCTTTGAAAACGAACTCCTGCAAAATTTAGTTCGCGTTTTTAAAGTCACAAAGAAAATAATTTATAGAGCGTGGGGCTGTGGCCGCAGAAATGATGCAAAAATCGCGTATAAAAAGGGATGTCCATGTCGTTTAACAACAGTTGAACAGTAATAGTACAGTAAGAAGTCACTAAGTCAAGCAATACAGAACGGTCTGAAGTTTTGAGTTGAAATAAATCAGTTTTTGAAAATGTAGTAAAGTCACTCTAAACAAAGTTACGATAATAGGAAATTCTTGAATCGGAGTAAAAAAAAATCTTCAATCGTGAAAACCAGCGAAGTAGTTATCAGAAATCAAACATTCGAATTCGGGATCGGTAGTAAAATAAATAACGTGTAGCAAAGACAAGTAACAACACCCCTATACGAAGAGAATTGAACATTGTATACTAAGGTAAATACTTTTGTGGACTTAACTTGTGAACTTAAATTGTGGACTCAGAAAATTGTGAACTTTAAAGATTTAATTTATAACTTTATCCATTGACTCTTAGTAATATGCATCCAATGCTCGAATTATTTTGAGGACTTGATGAAATGTTACTAATTTAAGAGATAAGCTCTTAAGTCTTGGAGTAAAGAAGTTTGTTTACCTGATTATATAAATAAAGAGATATTAACCATTTGAAATTCAGAGGATTTTTGTACTTATTTCCACCCCTAGCAATTACGAACCCTACCACTGTAGCCACTCTGGTAAAAATCTGTAATAAATTGGAAACCGCTCGCCAACAATCAACATCTTAAACAGTGATACCAGGGCGGGCGCTACAAATGGTGTCAGGTGTGGGGTTTGATTAAATTGCACGGTAGGTACACACAATACAAGGATGTTTACACGATTAGTGCATGAAATGAAAATATAAGAATTGCTTAAAGCAGGGCATGGATGATCTTGAAGTAACAAATCCGCTATACATGACAAATATTGCAATAGGATTAGAATCTCTACCTACGTACGATGGGAGTAGCAGGGTAGAAGAGTTTTTATCCATTATCGAAGAAATCAGCACCTTAGCCGAATGGACCGACCAACAAAAAGTTTCCGTAGTTAGACTAAAATTACGTTATAAAGCCAAACAATTTATTGAATCAGAGCCAACTCTAAAAACAACCACTAGCTGGACCACACTCAAGGAAGGATTGAAGAAGCAATTTGTGACGTATAATGTAGGTACAAGGAACTGCAATAAGAGAATTTATAGAATGCAGACAACGCAATGGGGAGACATGTCGACAATTTCTGACAAGGCTCTTAAGTCTTGGAGTAAAGAAGTTTGGTTAGGTACCTGATTATATAAATAAAGAGATATTAACCATTTGAAATTCACAGGATTTGTGTACTTATTTCCACCCCTAGCAATTACGAACCCTACACCGTAGCCACTCTGGTAAAAATCTGTAATAAATTGGAAACCGCTCGCCAACAATCAACATCTTGAACAGTGATACCAGGGCGGGCGCTACAAATTTATGTTAAAAGTAGTAATCTCAAAGGGTACTTTTGTTTCTGGAAGTTAAATGTGTTGAAGGAAGAAAGTCAGCTTTGTAGTAACTCAACGTAAATTTGAGAAAAAAAAAGGATAAAAGACTGTAGTATTTTTATATAATTTTATTATTGGAAGATTCAATATGTTATTATTACACTGAGAAACAGATATCTTAAAATTTATTAGGGGAAATCCATCTACTAAGACAGAAGTAGGTGGTATGTACTTATTTTATTCGATTAGAAGATTTTTTTGTAACAGAGTTATTTTATGATTATTTTGCAGAAACTTCATACCAAAACTTTATAAATATTACAAGTTCTAACAGCTTAATGATTAGGTTTATGATGAGAGAGTCAATCAGTTTTTGGGATATTATTTTTTAAGATTTTGTTTTACTTACTTAATTATTAGACTAAAAAACTGAATGACTGTAACACAAAAGTGTTCAGGAATTAATTTACCATCTTGAATTTCAAATTGCATGCTTTAGCAGAAAAATTGAATATGAATAATTAATTACAGAACAAGTTCCTCTATCGTCTACCCTATGATATTCCATTCTATTTAACCTGTTGTAGAGTACAATAAGTAAAAACGCTATTATAAAGAATAATAAAAAACATGTAAAAATCTACAAAAAACAAAATAATTATTCTAGAAATGTGTCATTGCTAATTATTATTCTCTTATTTTGTTCGATGAAATGGTTACACATCGAATTTATTCCCTATATAATACATTTAATTTAAGTAACTAGAAAAAAACCCATATACCATATTTCAAGATCACACAAAGTGACCTTACTATACATGATCCCGAAAATGGCTGAAGCGAAAGAAATAAACAAAACCTGGACCTTAATTTACAGTAATACCTAATTAATTATTACCCAAGTAGGTATTCACCAAAACTGCACGATTATAATATAGTGTATAAACTTAATATTATTATGATTGTTCCACCCTGTATAAAATAAATATAATATAATTATTACAAACAAATTGAAACGTTTCGAAAAACAAAAGATGAGATTCTTTACAACAATTTTTTCTGTCTATTGATTGATGATGATTTCGTTCCAAAACTGAAGCTGATGATTTTTTTTTCTTTGGCCTTCGATTTAGTTTCTGTTGTTTCTGCGAGCAGCTGAAATAGATAATAATAATTTAATTGTTGGTTAAGTGATAAATTTCAATGTTGATTATGATTTATGAAAAATGTACACCAAAAATTACGAAAGTCAGAAAGTTGTTGATGGTCCTTATCGATAAAGCAAATAAAGAGTTCATGTTGAGTTGAGAATATTATCTGATAGTATAGTGTGTCAGTACCAATGACGTCAGTACGGAAAACGGATCAAAATACCCATCCTGTTCTCGCGCTTGAAAGAAATAGATTGGCTTCTGGTCGATTCCTGTAGCTACACCATCATCCCAGGAGCTTTATTGTTGTGCATATCAAAGCATTTTTTGCCATAAAGATATCAGGGATAGGTATCTTTGGAACTTTGACTTTAGACTTTTGCTTGAAGACATTTTATCGAATTCATAGTTTGTTGATTTCTATATAAAATTTCATATAAATGTTCCAGTGTGTAAATCAAATCAACATTGTCCCTTGTTGAATGTGCCTTTTCCGGTTTCGTCTATGGGTTTGAAGATTTCTCTTTCTCTATTTACAAATTTTTTGTTCATTATTTTCATTTTCTCATACCCTTATTTTCTCTAATTGTCCGTGTAACTTGGTTGTTTTTAAAGTGTCTTAAATCATTCCTGATGATGGCTTTGGAGATGCATATCTTCAATAATTCTGTTGATCGTCTGTTGGTTGGTGTCTCTGTTGGCTTCAAGATGTCTTTTTTAGCTTTCGTTTCTTCGAACTTTTGTGGGACCAAGTGAAAGGAAAATTGAAAAAGTTGGAGTTAGCGAGTTAGTGCGGGATTTGAACCCGCGACCATCGCAACGTTACTACGAAGCTCTACGAACTGAGATAACCAACCCACCTCAACTAAACTCAACTCAAATTCCTTATTTAAATAATTAAATTGTTAAATGTATTTCAGGTAGGGGGGTTAGGCCCCCCTTACTAAACTAAAAACATATAACATACACTTAATTCTGAGAACATAGACTTATACTACAACTCAATGGGACGCAGCTCACTGTGCGCTCAGATACGCCTAGCGTGCTGTTTGCGCTGTTTTAGTTGGTCGGATGTTATGACCACCAAGCCCCTGTTCCTATCCTTGCTTTTGGGAACTCTTCTCGACGTTACCAGGTCGCCCTTACACGCCGTTTTCATGACCCTAGGGTCGCTGAAATGAAATACCATGGTTTGCAAGCATTGGGCCATCACAGTGGCTTACCTGAAGATGTTGGGTGATGCTCAGAGTTGATGTTGTAGAGCGCCAAATATAAAAAACTACACTTTTAATTAATTTCATGAACAAACGAAATAAAAAAATTTGTGCCTTGTCGGCGGTGGGGCCCAATGGACGTAGACTCAACTGCAAAGGTTAAGCTCTTAGGGTTTATGCGCGTCAGCGCCGGTATGACTTAAAAGGGATTCGGCAGCCCTGCATCTTAGCCAGTCCAGTGATCTGATGGATCACTGATAATGACTCTTATACAGATGAGGGAGTTTGTATGGGATGCCAGAGAATGTGGGTTGGAGGGATTTCAAGAATTTACCAGGGGTTATGGGGGTTCAAAGTAGATCAGCAAATTCTTGTAAGGAGGGCTGTGTACTATGGGGATGTCTAGGTCATATCTGATCGCAGTGAGTCTGCGCGTGAATGGGGAGCCCAGGCATCTGTAAAATTTGTCGCTGACATCATCCAGGTATTCAGAGATATAGGGAATTTATGCTTGCGCATGCATGTCCCTTATCCTTTCGTACCTGGACTCTCGACAGGACTCCTCTCAGAATTCTGTTTTGGAAGCGCTGGAGACGGTTCCTCTGTGTTCTAAATATGATGTTCCAGACAGGGGTCCCATAAGTAAGCATCGGTCCTATTACCTGTTTGTAAATACGGAGTTTGTTATCGGGAGATAAAGAGGAATTGGGACCTATTAGGGGATAGAGTTTCTGTTGCGCACTGAAAGTGCGAGCCAAAGCATGGAAAACTATGATGATGGAATTTCATTCTCTGGTCGAAAATGATGCCTAGGTATTTGACTTTTGGGGAAAGAGTGACAGGGATGTTGTTCACGATAAGTGGGGTGGGCATGGTGCTATTGGTATGCTTTTTATGGAAGCATGAGTTCTGTTTTTTGTTCATTAACACCAAGCTTCCACTTATCGTAATAAGGTTGAAGGATAGAAAGGTGATGGGCTAGTTGAAATTTTGTTGCTTGGGTGTAGAAGGATTGAGCGTAAACAGCAGTGTCATCTGTGTACAGCGCCAGTTTTGTATTCTGGAATTTTGGAATGTCCGCTGTGTACAGAGAGTACAGCAACGGACTGAGTGCCGACCCCTGCGGCACTCCGGCCTAAATGGGTTTGGAGTTTGATAGAGCGTCGTCTTATTGGCGCAGAAAGTGCGGCCGCTGATATATGACTGTAACAGGGAGATGATATGTAACGGGAAGTTGAATGTTGCGAGTAGCCTGAGTGCTAGATCCTATCGAAGGCGCGCTGCATATCCAGGAGCAGAAGAGTCGTGTTCATGCGCCTGTTGAACGCTTGGAAGGTGTCGCAGCAAATTTTGGCTGCAAGAAGAGTGGTGTTGTGGCGAGGGCGGAATCCGAACTGCTCGTTTGGGAGTATGGAGAAGTTTTCGACGATCTTTTTGACCCTGGACAGGATTAACTTCTCCACGAGCTTGGCAAAGGAGTTTAGAAGGGAGATTGAGCGGTAAGAGGATGTAGAGTGTTAGATTTTTTCCTGGTTTGGGGATCATAACCATCACAGCCATTTTCCATTGAAAGGGAAAATGCTGCAGTTTTAGGATTGCGTTTGTTATTTGTACTAGCTGGACAATAACTTTACGCGGGAGATTTTTGAGGGCTCGATATGGGATGCCATCTGGTCCGGGGGCCTTCTCGCTTAGGAGTCGGCGGATAACTCGTGTCATCTCGCCGGGCGTGACAATGAGTTCAGCGAGCAAATGCTGGGGGACGGGGTATTTCCGAATAGCAAAGGCTGCCACTGTATGCTCGATTTCTTCCTGTTCAGGGGAATTGGGTGGGAGTTCGGAATGAACGCTCTCCAGGAAAGAAGCCAAAGCTTCCGCCTTCTCTGGGGCAGTGACGCAATCCCTGCCATTATTAGTAATAGCAGGGGTGCGCACAGGCTGCCGCCTCATCCTTGGCGTAAGGCGCCATAAAGAGTTATCTTGGGGACAGAGGTTATCTAGGGTTTGTGCACATCTACGGTTCTTGAGCTCGCTGATGCCATCTTTGATGGCACCCTCGAATTCCCGAACACGTTGGCGATACTCGTCCCTTCGAAGGCGTTTCCACCTCCTCCGGGTACGATTCCTCAGTGCGATGAGTGCAATAAGCTCCCGAGAGCTCATCGCGGCCTTGACAAACAGTCACCCTAGTGGCGAGGGAAGTTTGGGTACGCTGGACGTTCCTGGTCAAGGTTGAGACCTCTTGCTCTAGACCGTCTATGGTATCAATTTGACCAGGGACTTGGGTTAGGGTATTGAGTGTCTGCCGAAACAGGGGCCAGTTGAAGTTTTTATAGCTCAGGCGAACTTGTGGGCGGGGAGGATCAAGTTCGCCCCAGGTGAAAAAGATGGGTAGATGGTCCGAACTCAGGGCATTGATCGTAACGAGATCGGAAAGTTCCCGAAGTCCTTTGCTGATTGCAATGTCAATGTAAGTAAGTGTCATGTTATTACTAGGATAATGGGTGGGCGATTCAGTACTGAGGAGTATCAACTCCGGTCTGTCGTTGACGAAATCATTTAGGATCATGGCGTTGGTATTTTCTCTGATTCCACCAAAGTCTGTGTCTGGCGTTTAGGTCTCCAAGCAACAAGGAGCGAGTGTTTCGGGGGAAAAATAGGGATAGGTTAGCTACTGACCCGTCTCTGCGGGGCGTTGTAGCAGCCATTGATCAGTACGCTAGCTTGATGCACACGTGCTCTACGGCACTTTTCCACTGTAGCATACGCTTGTATGCGATCGGGTTCCTGATCAATATCGCTACACCACCAGTAGCGGCCGGCTCTGTCAGAGCGTTCACAGGAATAATTTTTCGCCACGAGACGATCTCCATCGCCTAGCCATGTTTCCACAGTTATGGCGATATCAATCCCCTCATGGTGAAGGAAGTGGATTAGCTCACCTAATTTGCCGTTAAGGTTGAGTTTAAAATTCTTCAAGTCGGAGCTGAAGAATTGGCGGCTGGCGTTAAAACTCCATGTCGTCCACGATGTAATGGTCCAATGCTCGCATCATACCATCCATATTAATCAGCGAGTCCAGGCGGGCGAATTTAGCCTGGAACACGTTGAATGTTTCACCAAGGTTGATAGGGGCTTGGTGGTCATTGCGGGGCGGCACTGCTTTGCGCTCGCGCACTTCGTTTGTAGCGGTATCGTGCACTCCACTTTCGCGCACAAGTCCCCGCGGGAAGTCTCTTTCATACGCGAAGGTTGGTAGTTGCCGTTGGGGTGGCGGTGGTGGTTGTCTGGGCATTTGCCTGGGTGTCTGGGCCATTCTTCGACCCCAGGCTGGGTTTTGCGGAAGCGGGACAGGAACGTAGGTTGGTTTGGGGACGCTTCTAGCGTCAAGCATCTGCTTTTGCATTTATACACCGGGCAGTTGGTGGACATTGCCCGGTGTGCGCTCTTACAGTTTGCGCAGACCGACTGTTTGTCTCTATTGGGACAGTCGGCCGTCATATGCGCCTCCGCGCATTTTGAGCATCTGCATGCTCTGGCGGTGGCAGCCAGTCATCGTGTGGCCCCACGTTTGGCATCTGATGCACTGGCTGATGTCTTTGCGGTTCTTCCGCTCCTCCCACTGTACTCGGCTACGTATTGTGGCTCTTTATTGTCTCTTTTTATTTAGCCACTGTTCACTTAGAGCTTGTTACAACCAGGTACAGTGGGTTGTCTCCTGCCCCGTATTCTTCATCGCATAGATTTCTTTTATTTTTATGGAATACCTATCGACTAGGTATTCCTTTATCTCCTGGGTGGAGTAGTTCCCCTTCATGTGTCTTAGGACGAAGGCATGGGTCTTGTCCGCCACCACCCACCCACCTGGTAGATTTTCGACGAATCTAGGGCTGCTTCGTTCTCCTCTTGCATACCTACCTAACCATTTCAATCCTCCAATGGCTCACGAATGTGGCATGGGTCCTGCTAGGATAAGTTGCCTTTATCAATATTAATTCATTATTGTTAATAGCTTGAAGCTAATATATTAAGAGTTACAATACAATATTATAATAGTGCAATTGTCTTTTTTGCATATTTGAAATAGCAGGTAACTTTTAAATTAATTTAGACTTTCACAGTTCTTCACGTAATTTGGTAGTTCATTGAATAATTTCATTAGTCCCTTATGGAACAAGTTCAGGAGTCCAGGAATTTTTCATATAGGTGGGAACCATGGTTATTGGGCGATAGGTAGTCCTGACATAATTTGGAATTGTTTTTTTTCTATAGGTACCTATGATAAAGGATGTTTGCCCTTCACCAGGAAATTTTCTATTCTCTATACTTGTGTTTATAACTTGATGATGATGATGACCTCCATGGCTTCAAAGGATGATTTCAGCACTAGAGTAATAATTCCATTATTACTTTGGGATTATTTTCTCGCATGTTATTTCCTTAAGGGTCTTCCATATTTCTTTTGAGGCGTTTTTTACTATGTTTTGTCTGTTTCGATGTCTGATTTCCTTGCCAATTTCCATTGTTGCAATTGTATATTGTCAAAAATTGGCCCCCTGCTCGCAAAAAAGCGAATGAAAATATGCGCATACGAAACTTTGCGAACGGCCAAAAATTAGAACTTGTGGCTGTTCGCAGATTTAGGAACAATCTACATACGTTTCTATATTTGCGAACGGTCAAAAATTGGCCCCCAGGACCGGCACAATAAAGAATATGAACAATGGAACTTTCTCATTTCACCTATGCTGCGCGCGCCGCTTGTGGGTGATAGATAATAAAATTGTCAATTGAATGAACGGGGTTTGATGCTGACTTTCTTTAAGCTAACCTCAATTATCAATCAATATTGATGAAAATTATTACAAAAACTGTTTATTATACAATGGTTCAAATGTGTTGTGTACGATCTTGTCAGAGTGAGGCGGAAAAAAAGTCAAATCTTTCTTTTCACAAGTTTTCAAGCAATCAAAATGTAAGAAAACAATGGTTACGTGATCTCAACCTGACTGAAGACGATTAAAGTTGGAACAGAGATTTGAGGGTTCGTATTAACGATTTCTATATCAAATACAATGATAATTGTACAATTAAAGGTTTGCTAGCACTTGCAAATTCGTACTTCTCAAACTTGTCATTCCACACAGGTATCGCGCATCGTTATTTGTGTCTCTTTCTTTATTGCAGAAATTCTAATAAACTATCCTTGTTGTTCATTACATGAAAAAGGTCCATACAAACGTTTTTTTAAAAGAGTGCGGTAAATAATTTTTACAGCACTGAGTGCGGTAAAGTACTACCTACGGCACGCAAACGAGTGCGGTAAAGTGTACTTTACCGCACGCGAGTAGGAAAAGTTTCTTTTCCGCACGATTTTTTTATTTCTAAAAATGAAGATATTTAGGATCAAATAAATGATTTGTTATATATTATTTTATATTATGTGCTCTTTTGTACCATCATTATAAAATCTTTGCGTATTGGAAACATTTTTTTTGATAAATAAGATGGACAAAAACACTCGTAGGAAAAATATTGTACCTTACTCTTGCGGAAAATGTCTTTATTTACAATCGTACATGTAATGTTGACTTTACTGACTTTTAAAATGTTCGAAAATGTCACTTTTTTGACTTTTACTTTCGGTCCACGGGTCGAAAGTTTACTTGGGCCGAAAGTAAATGAAATTTTTAATTATTGTATTTTTTAGTTTTAATTCAAATCAAAATTTAAAAATTCGAATGATTGTAAATAAAATAGTATACATACCTCGGTGAAAAGTTTCATTACTGTCTCGAGATTTTAGTTAGACCTCGGCTGCGCCTCGGTCTGACTAAAATCTCTCGACAGTATGTAATATATGTAATATGTAATATGTAATATGTAATATGTAATATGTAATATGTAATATGTAATATGTAATATGTAATATGTAATATGTAATATGTAATATGTAATATGTAATATGTAATATGTAATATGTAATATGTAATATGTAATATGTAATATGTAATATGTAATATGTAATATGTAATATGTAATATGTAATATGTAATATACTATTTCCACCAGTTACGAAAAGTAAAATTTTTCGCAACTGGTGATGAAAAGTAAATTTTACTATTAGTTGCAAAAATCTGTGACTCATTTGGAGCTGAACTACTTGAAGTACTTTGTTGTTATTATATTCTTTGAACGTACATATTATGAAGATTTAATTTTATTTAAATTAGTTACATAATATGACAATGTATGGAAAAAAAAACTAATTAGTTATAAATATTAATACTTAACATAATTTGAACAATTAATGATGATATTGACAACATAGCTTTCTATGTAGCATTAATTGAATGTTTTTTCCATGGAAGTCTCTCCAAGGATGTTGGTGACAATTTTTTGTTTATTATAGTAGTATTTTCCACATAGCCCTTGGCGGCTGTATTAGACTTCCACCCCCATGCTATTTAATTCTCAGAAAATCATCGACAGAATCTACAAGCAGAGTAGGTAGTCGATGATCGTCAAAAGCAATGACCGGTTTGAGTCGCCAAACTTGACAATAAACAATACTGGCTTCCACAGCAACGGAAAAGGAAACACCTTTGAACTTACTTGACGATTTAGAAATAATTCAAGAAGGGAATTTTTTTATGTTTTTGACTCGAATTTGAATAGATCAAATCATACTAAACAAAATTAGAAAAAATAGTGTGTGAAACACGTTGTGAAACACTATTTTTCGTAACTCGCTTTCTTTTGCAGAAATCTGCTCGTTACGAAAAATAGTGCTTTTCCCAACTGGTTGCACAAATAACTATTAAATCACTCAGGTGATAAACGTCTATTCACCTTTGCTATTATTTATTCAATAATGTCATTTTTAAACGTCAAAATGGGATAAAAGTAATTAAATTGGTGATTTACGGCCGACACGAGTTTTCGGCATCCTTTGATTTATTCGTCCTCACATTCTTACAACAAATCTGTTGACCCCGATAATCCAGGAAATTTCGACATAATTATTCAGTTTTAAACAGAAAAAAGAACGGTCAATGAATTGACATGACCCGGAATATTCTGGGGGAACGAAAAATATAAAAGCAGCGGTTCTAGAAGTCTTCACATCAGTTCAGTTGATTCTTCAGTTCAGTCTTGAGTTTAAATCTACAGTACCTAATGAGTCAGTGCGGATAAAATTCGCGAAAAGTTTCCTTCATTTTATTGCCTCGGGAAAACGCGTTAAATCGAACTTTGAAACAGTAATAGAAAATTGTGAAAGAAAAACCATTTAAATTCGTTCAACATTATCTGCGAGCTCTAAGGGAATCAATTATCGAGAATTAGACGAATTATCTCGAGTATAAAAAAGTCGGGCCTTGGAAAAAGTAAAATTTCAGTAAATAACTTGAATTAAGAAAAAACGTAAATGTTTCAGTTTTTATATGCGTACTCTAGCTATTTTGAAGTAAATAATAATTAGAATAATTAAGTGACTTAAGAGGCGATAATTTAAATGAAACTACTCTAGTGACAAGTTTTATTTTTACTTTATCAATGTTGAAATGACTATGAAGTGAATTGACTATGAAACTTTATTGCATAAATATTATTATCTTGAGTGAATTGACTTTGAATATTTTTGTGCTTAGTATAGATAGAGAAATTTAATTCAAATGACTGCTAATTGAAATGAATTTTACTGAAGAGTTTGGATAATCGAATTGACTATTTTGTTCCGTCTAGTAAATTAACGGATAACCATTAATCAGTTGTTTCTTTCAATTGCAAATAGACCCGCCCCCAAATTTTCAATACCTGCCCAAGGAAATAATTATCATCAAATACGACCGCTCGCAATTTACCATGTACCTACTTACTCGCAATTCATATTATTCTCGAATATTTCTTTACACGATTACTGAGGACTGCAAACACGTGCATACTTTCTACTATTTCTACCAAAAAGTGTAGGTGCTTCGAGTTTTCACTCACGTCCAATCCTTTATACATCACTTTCAATGGTAACCTTTTCAGACACGTGTTGATCAAAAATTTTTTCTAATTTACTTACAGCTCTTCTGATAGTTCCTCCTATAGTCGATGTGCTTGCTTGTGTTTTTTTTGTATATGTTTTTCATTAATTGCCATGTTGAGCCTTACATATAAATACATTTGGAACTAAGCTAACGCTCCAAATCTGATTAAAGACATGAGCAATTATTTATTTTCATAACTTTTGCAATTATCTATATTTGAGCAAAGTTAATAGGAAACTTTTAATTATGTTCCGGTAATCGCAGCGGGGTGCAAACCTTAATACAGCTTGCCTAGCTATAAGAGTTATTAAAATGATTTGTCAAAACTTTCACAAGTTTTTTAAAAGAGTTAATGGAAAAAAAAATCTCAGATACAAACTGACTTCCGTTATTGAAAATTTTTGCTGCCCAACCAAAAATAAAAAGAAACTAAAAAAAAAAATGGATGATACGATACGATTACCTTTCTTACCTTTCGCGGTCTGACCTTTCTGAGGTTTATTTTTGCACTTCTTCGTGATTTCCCGTTTCTGTTCGCAAGACGGGTCGCTTCCAGGTTTCAGTTTGTCGCTCCTGGTCATTTGACCTTGCGCATTGCACTCGGCCCATGTGCCCTTTTCATATCTGCAAGCTAAAACACACAAAAGGGGGGGGATGATTTAACGATCCGCGAGCAAACATAAAGTTTTTGCATAATAAAATAGCGATTATAAGTTTATACGGCGCTCAACTATAGTTTGCGTCGTCGTAACTCTTACCAGATGTTGTGGCTCTAAAAATATCCATTTTGCGGAAAGGCATTATTGGAAATTCAAAAATGGAAAATGGCGCAGCAAGATTACGGTGCCCGGTTTTACAGGTTTTAATACTTCCGTCGTATAAATCTGACAATTTTTCCTCCTCGTGGGGCGTTTGATTTATGCATTTAGTGGGATTAAATTTGAGAATATCGATGAAAAAATACCATATTAAACTTCTTATTTGGATAATAACTTGTATGTTCGTGACGCTAAGCGCCCCAAGACCGTAATAACCAACAACCACCAATTCCATTAGGATTTAACGTAATTAGGGGCCACTTTAATTAACTTTGTGGTTAATTTACCGCTTATGCATTAATTATTAACCTCGACGTGACTCTGACGTCGCCCAGCATCTCGACGATGATGATGTTCTGGGTCTTTCTGAGGGGTTTCAGGTTTTTTGCCGCTTACAGATGAAATTTGGGAATTATTGTTTGTATTAGAGGAGACACAGTGCAGATGCTCCATAGTCTTATACGAAATTTTTATATGGCAGAAAACTGTTTTTTAACTGAAGATCTTTAATTTGTAATTATTATAGGTACCTACCATAAATGAAACAATATCTGAATTAGTGTTGTGACGCCATGTAACAACTTGGTTGTAGTATGGATTCCAAGATTCTAAGGCTGGATAATTTCTCTGAGTAATCGTGCAAATATTTGGGTTGATTTTGTTAAAGCGGTCCTTTTTAGAATGATTCAGAGAGACACAATAGAAGTGATCTTTGTGATTTGACCTTTTATTTTTCCAGACCAGAAATAACACATAAATAGTATACCTAAACAATAAATACCATCACCAAACATATAACATAATCAAGCAGAGATCTTGAACGGAGTATTTCAACACCTTTCCTCATTGAAATGTTTGGCCATGCGTATGCCAATAACTTGTGGTACCTTCTCCAATCTTTGCTTGAATAGCGGTTTTGTCATAGGATCAACTATCACTAATTTTTTTTGAACTAGTAACTCTCTAACAAAGACGTGTCCTATGTCTTATGTGTTTAGATTCACGATGAAACTCTGGATTCTAGGACAAACGAATGGCTGCTTCGTTATCAACTTTTGATTCTGGAACTGATTTTGGTGGATCAATTTCCTCATAAAGTCGCTTCATCCAAGGTTCCTAAAGTTAATAGGTTGTCTGGTAATGGGAAACAGATGACCTCATCTGGGTTGCCTAATAATGGAGATTTGCATTATGTTTAGGAACCCCAGATGACGTCATGAAAGTTATCAGGCAACCTACCTCTTTCAAACAACCTTGGTTTCATCCAAACTATATCTTTTCCAGCTTCACTTGCGGCTAATATCTCCGCTTCAGTAGTAGAAAGTCCTACTGATACTTGAATTTGGCTCATTCAGGAAATTGCAGCACCTGCATACATGCACAACTCCTGATGTTGACCGATCAGTTGCTTCATCTTCATTATTGTCAGAATCGCTAAATATTTCCAACTTTTCCTATAAGTACAACAAACTTGTAGGACAAACCCACATCTGCTGTGCGTACCTTTCAGGTGACGAAGTACTCTTTTGGCCTCTACACAATCAATATAAGTCGGGTTTTCCAATTTTCTGGACGCAACACTTACAGCATATGCTATATGGTCTAGTACAAATCATCAAATGAATCAAAGCTCCAACACTTTCGCTGTATAGAAAAATAGTGTTCGATTTTTCTTCACCATTTTCCTTCCCTAATTGAAGACTGTCTTTAACTATAGATGTTGAAACTGGCTTATAATCTTTCATATCAAAACGTTCTAATAGTTTCCGGGTGTATGAAGCTCGATTGAGGTTTATTTCACTTACTTTTTTCCTCTTGATTTGTAATCCAAGAAAATACGAGACAGGTTTTGTAGTAATTTCAAATTACTTTTTCAAACGAAGAGTTTTTCACGTTATTAGGTCGCGTACAGACCGAATTTCCAACGAAGACCAACGCCAAGGGCACATGTGCTGTCGTTGGAGTTGGAATTGGAAAGCATTGAAAAGGATTTGAGAACATCGTCCATACCGCCAATGCGTTCCAAATTAGTTCACATGTGCCGTTGGCTAGTGTTGGAAATTTGGTCTATCCCGTGTCTTTACATGTACATGCCAGTAAACCATCATCCATCATCCAGCTAATAGAAGCATATGTTGTCCTTCTTTTTTCACAAATAAGCATGGATCAGTATTACTTCGTTAAAAGCCAAGGGTTTTAATGTAGTCTGTAAAACGTTTGTTCCAACATCTTGGAGCTTGGATCCATACGACCTGCGTTGCAGAAAAAAATAGGTACTCAGCGACTACCATCTTCGTAGCCAACTGTCTACTCCATAAACACGTCTCACAATTCAACTGGAAAAAAAATATAGAGTCGGCAAAATAATAGCAATAATTACTGATAATTGATAATGAACTTGGCAACTTGATCGGGAAAAACTGACTGACTGATTGATGACACTTATCAGACATGGTAGTGGCTATAGCTACGGCAACGGTAGTGGCTATGGCTTCGCAAGTGTGACGTTACATTGGTTATGTAGTTAGCTTTTCCAGTTGAATTCCTTCTAATGTAGCATACGTTAACTTGGACTCTAAATTGGGCTGCAGTATTCAAGTGTGGATCGAATGAGACTGTAGTATACAGAGATAAAGTCGGAAACCCACTATTAGCAAAATGCCACGCCATGCTATTAGGCAATTCAATCCATCTGTCAAAAAGGAAAATTCAATGTGGCGTGGCGGCCAAGCAAGCTTGTTTTGAATATGTTTTTATGCGTATTTTAAATTATTTTGCATACAGTTTTGCTGACAACTTTGATTTTCATTATTTAATAAAATATTTGTTGACTAGGTACCTAAACTATTAATTCTGGCAGAAACTAGATAATTTTTGTGTTTTTTGACCCATGTCCCAGGTAGCAAAATGACGTTTGTTTAACGTTATTTTTTACGTCAAGTTAAGTTATAAATCACGTTATCAAAACGTCCTCTTAGCGTAACAATGTCATCGTTGAAGTAACGTTAATAATAAACTTTAATTAAACGTTGTTTTAAAACGTTAATTGACATTTACGAACGTTATTTTAATGTTAGATGACGTTGTAAACTTAGGTAAAACTAACGTTGATTGTAGGTAAGATGAGAGAAATCTAGAGAAATAAAAACATGAGGACTAAAAAACATTTATTTTTTATTTTAAAAAATGTAAAAATAACATAATGAATTTTTTTAATTTTAAACCTGAAAAAAACAAGGTACTCACATATTTGGTCTATTCCTTAACATATTAAATAAGCAATAATAATATTTTTGCTCTACCTATAGCGAAAATTTATTTACACAATAAAACATTCTGTAAGGCCCGGTTTATTGGACTTCTAATAAGTTATCAGGTAAACTATCTGACTTTTCTGATTATCAACGCAAAGCAAGGGGCATTAAAGGCAGCACACCACATAAACACAAGACTACAAGACACCACAACGAAACCAAAAACCAAACGACCATAGCAAACGACGAGCCGAGTATGAAGTACAAGAACAACGCCACCTGACGCCACAAACGAAAACGAAGGGAACGTTGTTGTACAGTGTTGCCAGATGAATTTCATGAAAGATAATCCGTGGTAACAAAGGTGATATTTTTTTCCTGACAAATTTAATTACATAATATATATGAAGCATGAACTAATAGAGAAAAAATGCTGGTTATCAAAAATTATAAAATTAAATATTATTAAATTCTAATAAGGAAATAAACATCTTCAAAAAGTTACAGCTGTTACAATTATACTAAAGAGGCAACACTGTAGGTGTGCCGCGAAAATTCGATTACACCTCTACGGGCGCGGGAATTTCAAAATAGGCTTAATATTTTTTGTTAGGAAACAACGCTAAATATAATTAGTGCAGGATACGACACTTGGAAATTAAACCTATAAGATAGTAATGTTTTTTTTTATATTTTCCTGATTCAAAATAAACACTGTTCTGATACCAACAACGTCTAGAAAAAAACGCTAATTCGACGTTACATATACTAACGTTTCAATAACAACGTTTATAAAACGTTAAACTTAATGACGTTGACACAACGTTACGTCATGTAACGTTATCCTAGAGTCGAGAACATTAGTACACGTTCAGGACCTGAAACCAACGTTTCATAAACGTTTTCTAACGTGTAGTTGCTACTTGGGGTGTGGCCGCCACGCCATCTTGAATGTCACGTGGTTTAAATTGCCTAATGGATAAGGTCATCTATACGACGCAACGAGTAACGAACATTTTTGGTGACAGCATTCAGTCGGCGATAATCAACACAAACACGTGAAGTTCCGTCTTTTTTCGGTACAAGGACGACTGAAAATGCGTACGGCGATTCGCTTTCTTCAATGATATCGCTGGCAAGAAGTTTGTCAAGCTCCTGACGCAAAACTTCTTTCTTCGCAGGAGATAAGCGATATGGTGGTGCAGCTATGGGAATATCAACAGTGAGGATGATGATATGTTCAGCATATGGGGTAACTCCTGTATCCTTGTTATGTTCCAACAGCGATTTCAATGTCCCGTCTTCAATATTGGAAAGAGTCGACAACGAAAAATCATTCCCGTCAACAACAGATAAAACTGCGTTGCAATCAATAACTTCATCCTGTAATGGCAAGGAATTGCTTGGATCATTATTGAAATAGTATATCTTCTTAGGTATATTGAGCATTATATCGAATTGTGATATGAAATTAACACCAAGTAAAGTCTTACTATCTTTGTAGTCTGGAACAGCAATCATTTGCAGTTTTCGTTGTTTATTCATAACTTCGATGAAAC